CTCAGTGTCGCCGTCTTGTGGTTACCCTTGGTAATGCACCTCTGCAGGCCAAAAGGGACATCTTTTGGGCACGGAATGGACACTTTGGGGGCAAAAACCAGACCAATCGCTGCTCGACACCTAGGAAATTCCCAGCCTGGACAAAAGGCATTTCAAAACACACCTGCCAAATCAGCACCTTTTCTGCTTATTGCTCCCTTCATCTTTTCCCTACTTTCTGCTTTTTGGAGAGGACTATGCTTTGGCATGGCACACTTGGGCAATGTTGTCACTTTTCCCTAAGTGGGCAGAGACGTCAGGATCTGGCATTCCCTGGGGAATGGCCTCAGCTGCCCTTTGGCTCCTGCACACCCTCCTCTGCTGCAGCCTCCATGGGCTCTCATCCTGTGCTGCTCCTTGCACCCTCCTCCCTCCTCACGGACTCCAGCAGATTGAATTTAAGAAGGGTTGAATTTAAACTTCAAAAAGATGGAAGTGCCTTCTATCTCCTTACTGATCTCTATTTCCCCTCTTCTCCCAAAGTGGAGAAGAAAAAGGGCCCAGCTGACAGGGAGCAGTTGGCTTGATGGACAAGAGGCCATCAAAGTGCAGCCTGGGCTAAAGCAGTTGGACTGAAAAAACCTCCCTTCACTGCATAGTAGAGCAATATTTTGAGAGCCATCTTTTGTTGTCTAGTGACTTAACAGACCTATGGAGCAACAGTTAAGAGGCTGTTCTTTACTCCCACTGCAAAGTGACTGAATGTATTGCCCTGTTTTTTGAGGGGTAGACCTGTTCTCCTTTTTCTAGGTGGGTAGACCTGTTCTCCTTTTTCAATGGGTAGACCTGGTCTCCTTTTTTCAATGGGTAGACCTGTTCTCCTTTTTTAAACGGGTAGACCTGGTCTCCTTTTTCTATGGGTAGACCTGGTCTCCTTTTTTCAATGGGTAGACCTGGTCTCCTTTTTTTCAGCGGGTAGACCTGGTCTCCTTTTTTTCAGCGGGTAGACCTGGTCTCTAAGGCTTAGGTGTTTTTAAAACTTCTCTTGTGCCACCAAACCTGCTTCCCATCTCTCCTAGCTTTTGCCTCGCCTTGCCTTTAAAAAGCACACCCTCTCTTCCATCTTGCAACAGCAAAAACACTAAATGCTCCTCAACCACAATGCAATCCTAACGATGGCCACCGCCACCTCGCTATTCTGACACACCCAGCCAGCACCCCCAAGCCACCCATCGCATCTCAGTAGAGCACCACGGCCAGGACAATGCCAAGAGTGGCAACGGTAGCCCCACTGATGGCATTCATGCAGAGGGAGACATGCACAGAGGGACACCTTTGGCCTCATACAACCCATACTGAATTTCCTCCAAATCTCTTCCCCAACACCATCCGCTCGCTACACTGCACCAAACAACAGGCAGCAATAAACTTTGATGCCTTCAAAACAGCCAAGTTCTTGGACGCTTGCTATTTCCTTCCTCTTACTGTTCTTCTTCCTTCAGAAATTCTGCTCCTAGCCCAGTTATCACTACTGCCTCAAGCATGTCCCTCCCTGCTATTACCAGCACATTTACACAGGCAAGGAACTTAACAGCTCTTCTAAAGTTATCCAGGTGCCAATTACAGCCACAAAAGAAAAGCAAAAGGAAAAGAGGGCTCAGGCAGTCAGAGAGCTCTGCAGGTGGCACCAGGCAACATCACACTTGCTGAAACATGTCCTTTTGCACAGAGAAGGAAACAGGCCAATATTATGGCAAGTTGTGCCCTTCCCATAGTGCTGAAAAAAATCACACGCAGCATCGAGTAAGGCTCGAAGATAAGCTGGGATAAAAAATGGCAAAAGCACGCACACCAGGACATTCTCTTGCTTCCAAGGTAAGACCAATCATCCCTCTAGGAAAAGGGAAAGAGACAAGGGTTTATCAAGCAATGCATAACTTTGCAAGTCAGTTTAACAAGTACCAGCAGGGTTTGGGAACAGAGAAAACAAAACTCAGTGGGTTTAGTAGTTAAAAACTCAGTGTAAACCACTGTCTGGTTACAGCAGTAAGCTTCCCCCAGCAGTTTCAGGTGCTTTCCTTTGTAGCCCAGTCCCAAAGTAGAAACCCCTCTCGACTGCTCCTGAGAAAGGCAATTAATTGGAACTTTTGGTGCTCAGGAAAGCTAGTCCCTCCCCTAAGTCCTGGCTCACCCGCCCGAGCAACTATAGTGCTTATAACCCACCTCACTCCCTGCTTTGCATGTTCATCTCAATAAAAGAAACCTCCAAGCTCTTCCTCCAGTCCCAGTTGTATCTTCTCTGTACTCCCCCACCTGTTCATGTGCGCTGCTCCCCTCTCCTGCGCTGCTTCCCAGCACACAGCTCATCCCTCAGCCCCTTCCTTGAGCGATGATCCAGGGACCTCAGGTGCTTGCCCCGGCGAGACGCCCTCACCGCTACTCCTTGAAAGACTGCTCCCCCGCAGAAGCTCCCTACAAAAAGTGGCCCAGATAACCACTCAGCAGGGTCCACCCCTCGTCATCCTCACTGCCCACACCTGGGGCTGTCCCGCTCCTTTGTCATCCTCGCTGCCCACACCTGGGGCTGTCCCGCCCCTTTGTCATCCTCACTGTCCACAGCTGGGGCTGTCTCGCATAGGAGAGGACAGAAGGGTGCATGGAACCACAGGCGGCCGCGCGAGCCGGGGAAAGGGGCCGGCGCCAGCCGAGGGGCGCTGCCGGAGCGAGCAGGAGGCAGGGGCTGTTCTAAGCCGGGGCCCGGGACCTCCGCTGGCTCGTGGTGCTTCGCTCTGGGCTCTAGGGTTCTTCTGAGCTGGAGTTGGGTGCGGGTTTTGGGAGACTGCGCACACCCTCCCCTGAGTCACAGCTCCGCCCCAGCTCGCTGCACCCTGCTGCACTCCCCGCAGCCCTTGCTCACCTGCGTGGGGATTAGTGCCTCCTCTGCAGGTGGCAAATGTCTGTAAAGTGAATCGGGAAGCCACTGCCAGTCTTTCTTTTCCAGCCTTTTCTGCCCAGCACCGCAGTGGTTGAAAAGGAAACCAGAAAAACAGGACCCACCCTCCCCCCCCAAATCGCACCATGCCAAGTCCCAGCTTCTCCCTCTAAGCCCAGGCAGAGCCCGCCCACCGCCAGGCCCCGAGATCTGCAGCCCTCGGGCCCCACCGCGCCATCCGTGAGGTCACCCGGCCCCCCTGCACCGCCCTGGAACGCCCTCCCACTGCCGCACTCGAACACAAGGACCAAAGCCCTTTCCCCCCAGCACAGCCCGGTCCCTCCCCGGCAGCCTCGGCAGCGCGGGAAGGGCCGGGGGCTGCGGCAGCCCCCAACGACGGGCGGGGCGCACCGGGAGGGGCAGCGCAGGGCGGGGGCGGGTCCCGTGGCTGCGACCCCCACGGTGGAAGGAACTCCCAGGGCAGCCCCGTCCGGCACCGCCGCTGGCCCTGCTCAGCCACCGCCCCTCGCCTCGCCCACAGCTTTAACATTAAGCCAAGATTTAGTACAGAGCACCACAAGATGCTATCTGACCAACCTGATCTCCTTTTATGATCAGCTGACCTGCCTGGTGGACAAGGGGAAGGCTGTAGGTGTGGTCTATCTGGACTTCAGCAAAGCCTTTCACGCTGTCTCCCATAATATACTCCTGGAAAAGCTGGCAGCCCACGGCTTGGCCAGGTGCACTCTCTGCTGGGTTAAGAGCTGGCTGGAGGGCTGGGCCCAGAGAGTGTTGGTGGACGGGGCTGCATCCAGCTGGTGGCCGGACACCAGTGGTGTGCCCCAGGGATAAGTGCTGGGCCCAGTCCTGTTTAACATCTTTATGGATGATTTAGATGAGGGGATTGAGGCCATCATTAGCAAATTTGCAGATGACACTAAGTTAGGAGGGAGTGTCAATCTGCTGGAAGGCAGGAGGGCTCTGCAGAGGGATCTGGATAGACTGGAGAGTTGGGCTGATTCCAATGGGATGAAGTTCCACAAGGCCAAGGGCCGGGTCCTGCACTTTGGCCACAACAACCCCCTGCAGCGCTACAGGCTGGGCACAGAGTGGCTGGAGAGCAGCCAGGTAGAAAGGGATCTGTGGGTGCTGATCGACAGGAGGCTGAACATGAGCCAGCAGTGTGCCCAGGTGGCCAAGAAGGCCAATGGCATCCTGGCCTGCATCAAGAACAGTGCAGCCAGCAGGATGTGGGAAGTGATTCTTCCCCTGTACTCAGCACTGGTGAAGGGACTCGGGCACAAGTCCTATGAGGAGAGGCTGAGGGAGCTGGGGCTGCTTAGTCTGGAAAAGAGGAGGCTCAGGGGTGACCTCACCCCAATTCTGTCCCACCTCCCCGAGCTGGGCAGCTGAGGCCAAGGCTCACCTTCCTCCTGCCAATCACTGTCTCAGCACACCAAGGCCCATGCAGGGCAGCACTTGGGAAAACTTGGGAAAGGCAACAGGAAAATGGCAGTGCCTGTCAGAAAACGAGTGCCCACAAACACACCTTTCGGACAAATGAAATAACATCACTCTCCTCCAAGAAACACAGGCCAGGCAGGGCTCTCCAGCCCAGGGGAGAACAGGCACGAGAACTGCAGGGAACACAGGGAGACACAGGCAGGCATTGCCACTTATTCCCTGCAGCCCTTTCTGCACTTGGGGCTCCTGGCTCTTGATTTAGAAAGAACTGGGGGGGGAACAGCAGAGCAGGAGTGCCCCTCAAAAACAGGGGCCTTGGCACCTGGAGCATCAGAGGAGGGGAGACATGGAGGGGAGACATGGAGAGAGAACAGGAAAGGGGTTTGTTCAGGAACGGGCTGTATGTCCAGCAGTGATGGCAACTGCAAACACGGGATGCTGTGGGAATGCAGGGGGGGAGCACGGGCCTGGCTTGGATGGATCCCTTTGCCCTTTGCTCAGGGGCCTCAGCTCCACCCTCTGAGAGCAGCAGAGATCTGCTGCAGGGCAAGAGTTCATTTAGGCACAAGTCAGTGATGCAGCTGCTGGGCAAGGGGAGAGGAATGGAGAGGAACTGACACCAAAATCACACAATCACCACTTTATTGGGACATGATTGAGCTGCAACACAAATACATTCACAGCAGGCCAGGGCAAGAGGTGCACACAGGATCCCCAACACAGCAGCTGGGCTTGCAGGAACACCCTCTCCTCAAGTTATGGAGCCGGGGGCTGACAGTTGGGATCCATCCTGGGGGACTGGAGAGCACTCAGACATCAGGGCCGAGTCCTACCTGGGCACTGCAAGCAGTTCAGCCCCAGCAGCAGTGGGAGTTTCTGCCTCTCCCTCCAAGAGTATTTGGGACCCAACAGCTCAGTACAGTAGAATTTTATCTTCATGAATATTTTACAAAGTTGAGCTTCAGGAGAACTGAGGCACTTTTCCTTATTCCGTACTCTTCCAGTGCTGCACTTGCCCGGATCCTTTAGGCACGAGGAACCTTCTAGACTGCTCCAAACCTTCAGGGCCCACTTGTTCTTCTTGCCACAGTTAGACCAGCTCAGTGCGCCTGCAGAAAGAGAAAATTCAATGATTCTCTCTGAAACCAGAACCTCCCCTGCTTTGCTTCCCCATTCCATGTTTTGTTCCCTACACAACTGAGGCCACGTGGCAGCCAAGGAATCCAACCCAAGAACCTGCCAGGGAGCAGCCTCTGTGCCACAGCAACAGCATTCCAGGCCTGTCACTGCCAACCCTCCGCTTCTCCCAACAGCTCCAGTGGCACCAGAACTTGTCCTGAAGGCAGAAAGGCTCCTTTTGGGATCACGATGAGCTACCTATACTGTAGCACTGGAATTCCATCTCCTGGACAAGCTGGGAAAAGAAGGGAAGAAACCAGGACCTTAAAGGCAAATTAGGAGCACCTGTTCATCCAGCAGCAGCTCCAATAAAGGTACGGAGTCAACACCTCACCAAAGACACAGGACAGCAAGGGCCAACACGTTGTCTATCACTTCAGTTTTTAATTTATAAAGCCAAATTAAAGCAAAGCTTTTCAGACACTTGGGAAGACTCAATCCCCTTGTAACCAATTTGTGGGACTCATTCCCAGCCTCCTGAGGTTCATTTCCCACCTCACTTGTGGCTGCACTAGACCTGGTTACACACACACACACACACACACACACACACAGAGAAGGAGCTGCTGCAACTTGTCCAGTTTCCTGCTTCTCCTTGAAACTCCTCCAGCTCTTTGCCCAGCTCTCCAGGGTCCATTCCTTTGCCCACTGGACTTGTTCTCAGCCCCAGGGCTGCCAGGGCCACCCTGGGCTCTCACCTGCCCTCACACTGAGTGACCTTTCCCAGTCCCGAGTCCATCCGGCACTGACCGAGCTGCTGGGGGCTGCAGTTCTCCCTGCTCCTTCCCTCCCTCTGCTCCAGCGTTTTTTCCTGTGGGAAGAGGTGAATTAGTCTTTTTAACGACCCAACGGCCAGAGGTGGGGGAAAAACTATCAGCATTCCCTAAACACCTCCAGCACTTCCATATTCATCTGCGACCAGGGGCAACCTGAGCTAGGGGAAGGTGTCCCTGCTCAGGGAGTGGGGCTGGATGAGCTTTAAGGTCCCTTGCAACCCGAACCACTGCAGGATTCCATCACGATTCCACCATTTCTCCCTGCATTTGTTGTGCATCGCTTCCTCTCTAATTCAAATTCTCCAGTTTGGTCAGTCTGTTAAAGGAATAATTTTAAGGTTATTCTGGGAATAAAAAGGAAAGTGTAAAACCCACACGAATCATTCCTGCACCCATCAAATCCTTATTCATTGGGAGCACATTCCTTCCTCTCTGTCCTTGTTTTTTTTTTTCTCTTGGGAAACCTTATGGTCATAGATTTTTCCAAGAGAGACCTGGGATTACCAGGTTTACTCTGTAAGAAGCTAAGAACACGCGACGTCACGCATGTGGGTTCCAACATGCTAAGAACACGCAAGGTCATGGGTGTGACTTGAAGACGCTAAGAAAACGCCACGTCACGCGTGTGGGGTCTAACACGCTAAGAATGCGCAACATCACGCATGTCGGTCAAACACACTAAGAACACTCGACATCACGCGTGTGTATCAAACACAATAAGGACATGCAACGTCACGCGTCTGGGGTCAAACACGCTAATAGCACACGACGTCACGCGTGTGGCTCCAAAAGACTAAGAACACGCAACGTCACACGTGTGGGTCCAACGCACTAAGAACACGTGACATCACGCATGTGACTAAAACACGTTAAGAACACGCGACGTCACGCGTGTTATTTCAACACACTAAGAACATGCGACATCACGCATGTGGGTCCAGCACGCTAAGAACATGTGACGTCACGTGTGTAGCTAAAACACGCTAATAACACGCGACGTCATGCGTGGGACTGAAACACAGTAACAACACGCGACGTCACGCCTGTGGGTCCAACATGCTAAGAACACGCAACGTCATGCTTGTGGGCCCAGCATGTTAAGAATATGCAACGTCACGCGTGTTGTTCCAACACACTAAGAACACGTGACATCACGCGTGTGGGCATAACACGCTAAGAACACGCGACGTCACGCGTGTAACTCGAACACGCTAAGAACACGCGATGTGATGCGTGTGGCTCGAACACGCTAAGAACACGCGACGTCACACGTGTAGGTCCAACACGCTAAGAACACGCAACGTCACGCGTGTGCCTGAAACACACTAAGAACACATGACGTCACACGTGTGGCTCCAGCACGCTAAGAACATGCGACGTCACACGTGTGGCTCAACATGCTAAGAACGCGTGACGTCACACGTGTGGCTCGAACACCCTGAGAACACGCGGCATCACGCGTTTGGCTAAACACGCTAAGAACACGTGACGTGACGTGTGTGGTTTGAAGACGCTAAGAACACGCGACGTCACGCATGTGGGCCCAACACGCTAAGAACACACGATGTCACGCCAGTGGGCTAAACACACTAAGAACACGCGACGTCACGCGTGTGGCTCCAACACGCTAAGAACACGCGACGAGACGCGTGTGGGCCTAACACGCTAAGAACACACGACGTAACACGTGTGGCTCAAACACGCTAGGAAGACGCGACGTCACGCGTGTGGGCATAATACACTAAGAACACGTGACGTCAAGTGTGAGGCTCCAACATGCTATGAACCCATAACGTCACGTGTGAGGCTGAAACACGCTAAGAACACGCGACATCATGCGTGTGACTGAAATAAGCTAAGAACACGCGACATCACGCGTGTGGGTCCAACACGCTAAGAACACGCGACGTAACGCCTGTGACTGAATCACGCTAAGAACACGCGACATTATGCGTGTGTGTTTAACACACTAAGAACACGTGACGTCACGCGTTTGAATTAACACGCTAAGAACACGCAACGTCACGCGTGTGGGCATAACACGTTAAGAACACGTGACGTCACGCGTGTGGCTCCAACACGCTAAGAACACGCGACGTCACGCGTGTGGACCCAACACGCGACGTCACGCATGTGGGTCCAACACGCTAAGAACACGCGACGTCACGCGTGTGGGTCCAACAGGCTAAGAACACGCGACGTCACGCGTGAGGCTGAAACAAGCTAAGAACATGTGACGTCACGCGTGTAACTGAGACACGCAAAGAACAACCGACGTCACGCGGGTGGTTCAAACACGCTGAGAACACGCGGCGTCACGCGTGTGAGTCCAACAGGCTACGAGCACGTGTCGTCACGCATGTGGCTGAAACACGCTAAGAACATGCGACATCACATGTGTGATTCCAACACGTTAAGAACACGCGACGTCACGTGTGTGGCTCTAATACACTATGAACACGCAATGTCACGCGTGTGGTTCAAACATGCTAGGAACACGCGACGTCACGCGTGTGAGCTCAACACGCTAAGAACACGAGACATCATGCCTGTGGCTTTAACATGCTAAGAACACGCGACGTCACGCATTTGGGTCCAACACGCTAAGAACACGTGATGTCACGCATTTGAATTAACACGCTAAGAAGACGCAACGTCACACTTGTGGACATAACACGCTAAGAACACGCGACGTCACGCGTGTGGACCCAACACGCTAAGAACACGCAACATCACACGTGTGGGTCCAACACGCTAAGAACATGCGACATTACGCGTGTGCGCATAACATGCTAAGAACACGTGACGTCACAAGTGTGCCTCGAACACGCTAAGAACACGCGATGTCACGCGTGTGGACCCAACACGCTAAGAACACGCAACGTCACACGTGTGGGTCCAACACGCTAAGAACACGCGACGTCACGAGTGTGGCTCCAACACGCGAAGAAGTATTGCCAGCCAGTAGAAAGCATGGCGCCCGGAGTCGGAAGTGGGCGGGCCCGAACCGGAAGTGGTCACCGCAGCCCCCGCATACCCGGAAGTGGCCCCAGGAAGCCAAAAACCTGCTTTGTTTCCAACCGGAAGTGGTGCCAGCCGGCAGAAAGCATGGCGCCCGGAGCCGGAAGTGGGCGGGTCGGAGCCCCAGTGGGCGGGCCCGAACCGGAAGTGGCCCCCGATGCCCCCCCATACCCGGAAGTGGCCCCAGGGGGCCAAAAACCTGCTTGGTTTCCAACCGGAAGTGGTGCCAGCCGGCAGAAAGTATGGCGCCCAGAGCCAGAAGTGGGCGGGCTGGAGCCAGGAGTGGGCGGGACTGAACCGGAAGTGGCCCCCGCCGCCCCCCCATACTAGGAAGTGGCCCCAGGGGGTCAAAAACCGCATTGGTTTCCAACCGGAAGTGGTGCCAGCCGGCAGAAAGCATGGCGCCCAGCGTTTGAAATGGTCGGGGCAGAGCCGGAAGTGGGCGGGTCCGAACCGGAAGTGACCCCCGCCGCCCCCCCATACCCCGAAGTGGCCTCGGGGGGGCAAAAACCTGGGGTTTTTCCAACCGGAAGTGGTGCCAGCCGGCAGAAAGCATGGCGCCCGGAGCCGGAAATAGGCGGGCAGAAGCCGGAACCCCAGTGGGCGGACCCAAACCGGAAGTGGCCCCCGCGGCCCCCTCATACCCGGAAGTTGCCCCAGGGGGCCAAACACCTGCTTGGTTTCCAACCAGAAGTGGTGCCAGCCGGTAGAAAGCATGGCGCCCGGAGCCAGAAGTGGGCAGGCCGGAGCCAAAAGTGGGCGGGCCCGAACCGCAAGTGGCCCCCGCCGCCCCTCCATACCCGGAAGTGACCCCAGGGGGCCAAAAACCTGGGGTTTTTCCAACCGGAAGTGGTGCCAGCCGGCAGAAAGCATGGCGCCCGGAGCCGGAAGTGGGCGGGCCGGAGCCGGAAGTGGGCGGGCCTGAACCGGAAGTGGCCACCGCCGCCCCCTCATACCCAGAAGTGGTTCCAAGGGGCATAAAACCTGCTTTGTTTCCAACCGGAAGTGGTGCCAGCCAGCAGAAAGCATGGCGCCCAGAGCCAGAAGTGGGCGGGCCAGAGCTGGAAGTATGCGGGCCCAAACCGGAAGTGGCCCCCGCCGCCCCCCCATACCCAGAAGTGGCCCCAGGAGGCCAAAAACCTGGGTTTTTTCCAACCGGTAGTGGTGCCAGTTGGCAGAAAGCATGGCGCTCGGAGCCAGAAGTAGGTGCGCTCGAACTGGAAGTAACCCCCGCCACCCCCCCATACCCAGAAGAGGCCCCAGGGGTCCAAAAACCTGGGTTTTTTCCAACCGGAACTGGTGCCAGCCAGCAGAAAGCATGGCGCCCGGAGCCGGATGTGGCCCCAGGGGGCATAAAACCTGCTTTGTTTCCAACCGGAAGTGGTGCCAGCCAGCAGAAAGCATGGTTCCCAGAGCCGGAAGTGGGCGGGCCGGAGCCAGAAGTATGCGTGCTACTTCTCACCTAAACCTAAGCATAAAGCAGAGGCTAAGCCTAACTGTAACACAACCCTAAGCCTAAAGCCTAAGCCTAATCAAAACCCTAACCTTTAATTAATTAGGTAATTAAATAACTAAATAATCTGTGTACAGATGGGATTTGTTGGGGGCAGGTACAAAGACTTAATTAGGTAATTGATGACTAATTAATGCGTTATTAAGTAGTACTGCAGAGTGGAATGGGGTGTGGGTCATCTGCAATTGATTAGTTGCTGAAATGTGGAGCAGTAATTAGGTAATTAATTAGGCAATTACCTTGTTGCTTCATTGCTTCAACTGGTTAAATAGTAGGTTAATTTGTTATTTACTTATTTAGTTTATTAGTTAATGGGTCAATCAGTTAATTTCTTAATTGGCTAATTGGTTAAATACCTGATTGGTTAGATGGTTAATTGCTTATTTGGTTAATTGGTTAAGGACTTCATTGGTTAATTGGTTAATGATGTAACTGGATAATCGGTCAAGTACAGAATTGGATACTTATTTTATTGCTTGGCTAGTTATCTAGGTAATTAATTTCCATATAATTGCTTAGTAATTAGTTATTTGTCATTGTTGGTGTAGTTCTCTGGTTGTCCACAAGGTGGTGGGCTTTCACTGATTTTTCCTTTGCAGTTGGTTTTGTTTGCTAGGTGCACTGGCGCCCGTTGTTTTTTGTGTTGTAGGTCTCCCATTTTGTCGGTAGGTGGCAGTGTTCACCCCAAAATTTTCCTGCCGTTCCTATGTTTGGTCACTAGGTGGTAGTGCTGTTTGACAAAAAGTAATTCCATAATTACTGGGGGGAAAAAAACCCTCATTTGTTAATTGGGTAAGCAAGGTTAATTACTTCATTAGTGGAAAAAAATTCATTTGTCATTTAATTGATGAGTGAAAAACAATCAATTATTGGAAAATGTCATTAATTAATTGTTTGGTTGCACAATTGTCATTTTCTAGTGGATCTGTGTACAGTTGGGGTTTGTTGTGGGCAGGTGAAAAAATTATTAGTTAAATAAAGACTAATTAATAGGTTCCTAATTAGTACTGCAGAGCGGAAGGGGGTGTGGGCCACCTGCAATTGATTAGTTGCTGCCCTATGGAGCAGTTGTTAGGTAATTAATTAGGTAATTACTTAGTTGCTTCATTGCTTTAATTGGTTAATTCATCGGTTACTTACTAATTTACTCAGTTATTTAGTTCCCTAGTTAATTGGTTAATCAACATCCCAGTCTCGTATCAGGCCCACTCTCCAGTCCCATCACCGTCTCTTTGCAGTACGTCTCCAATACTTCCCCAGGTCCTCCCCAGTCCTATTCCAGACCCTGCAGTCCCTTTCCCAGTCCCAGCCCTCAGTCCCATCCCAGTTTCCTCCCCCGTGCCCCAGACCCCCCATGCCAGTGCCCTCAGTCCCTCCTCCAGGGCCATCCCAGTCCTTTTCCCAGTGCATTCCAGTCCCACTCGCCAGTCCCCTCCCCTATCCAGTCACAGTCCCCTCGCACTCCCTCCTCGGTCCCTCCAAAGGCCCTCCCCAGACCTATCCCGGTCCCTGCAGTCCCTTTCCCAGCGTCCCCAGTCCCATCCCAGTTCCTCTGTGTCCTCTTTCCTTGGCAGTAGCCTTTGGAGAAGATAGAAGAGGCATCCTGTAGGACAGCAAGGCCAGAGTGAGTGAGCAGAGGAGTGGCCTCAGGCTGGAGAGGGGCAAGAGAAAGGCTATGTGGGCAAAGGGACCTCCCTGTTTTCACCACGTAAGCTGCAGGATTGGAATATAATTAAGATGCATTTGCTGTGCATCCATATGGATAGGCTGCAAGCACAGGGGAAAAGTCTCACCTTAGAATGGTGACATGAAATCTCCTTCTATTAACCATCACGCAATTGTTAGTACATAAAATATATTTAATGAAAACCAAAACATCAAACAGTAGATCGATCAAGTTGTGCCCTGGCTGCAGCAGATGCCTGACTGCACTCGGTGAACAGAAGGTGCCACTGGGGACCAGCAAGTACTCTGGATGCTAATGCTGTCAGAGCTCAAAATCTAAGCTCTAAACAGATAGATCTGAAGAATTTGCAGGAAAAGGAACTGCTATCTGGTTCCTTCAGCTTCAGGAAGCCACAGTGGCAGATGGCCAAACGTGCAGTCGGCTATCAGAGGACTATCAGAGGAAGTTGTTCACAGATGAAAATCCTCATGCATGGTTCCATGCAAGTTTCTTTATGCTGTTCCTTCAGTTTAAACTCCATCACAAGTGATTCCAAACCTTCTGTTTCTGAAGGTCTCATTCATTCGGGTTGCTTCTCCTCTGGCATTTCATCCGCATGTCCTGCATAAAGTTTCTGAAGGCTGGTTCTTCATGACTCTCCTCAGTCACTGGGGGAAAAAAACGACAGTTCAGCACTATTGCAGTACTTGTTCTACTTGTGTTACTGAAAAAAAGCTAGAATCAGGATAGCCAAAGCAACATAGCAAGTCTATTTGATCTTCAACTACATTACAGGGCAAAGGAAATAGGTAATCCTACCTATCAATTGAACAGGGAAAGAATGAAGATTAAGTCTGTGAGCTATGTAAGAGAAAAATCACACTGTAAGAACTTAGAAGATTGCTCCAAGACCACAGTCACAGGAAAAGGGAAGAGAGCCAGGGGCAGAAACTGTAAGGCCAAAAAGATGATGAACACATCTGTGCATCAGTCAGGTTCAGAGGTCACTGCATGCCCCAAGCCTAAAAAGTTCTCTGGTTTATGTATGTTATACACCTATTAATTACTTGATTAGAAAATTTACAATTGAACTTTCACAAAGGTTACAGAGTGATATCCCTGGACTGATCATTGCAGCTGAGCTTCTGCTACAGATTCTGACATGTCAGGTGACTGAATGTTTGCTTGTTTTCTAGGCTCTCCTTACGGTCTGTCCAGGTAATGAAATATAGAGGGGATTTCTTGACTAGACAGGCAGCTTTTAGACCTCATTCCCTTACCTTCATGGTCAATGTCATCAGTATCACTCTCCCTCTCTTCTTCCTCTTCATCGAGAGTTCCTCGCGTTAGTATTAGCTCAGAGGGACCCATTGCAGAAGCATCAGCAGGTCCTTGAAGGGAACAGAAACGGCTGTACACAAACTAGCTTGCTAAAGGTAAGGAAGTGGGTGTACTGACAACTTCTATCTGCGTATAAACACAGCAATTAACACCTGCTCTAAAGGGACAGAAAGCTGCCTGTGGATCCCAGACACAGGAGAGACTCCATCAGCAAATACTCGCCTCGTATAGCCAACAGCAGAGCTTTCTCATATTCTGACTGTTTCACCTTTTCTAAAGTATTTCATTATTTCCAGTAGGTCCACTTTAGCTTTAGCTACACAGCAGGGTTTTTTCCAAACCTGTGACTGACACAGGAAGACCTAAGCGTGACCAATCCCACGGGAACTAAAGCCCCACTCCTCTAACATGGAGCTGCTTTCACACTTCAGCTATGAGGATGAAGCAGCACTGTATTACTTCACAAGGCAAACTCTTCAGAAAACTTCTGCAGTAAATTTTATCATCCTGGTGATGTACCTGCCAGTGTGCTGCCCTGCACACACACACTGCCCATGTCCTTCCACAAGTGTTCCAGCTGCTCTCTCTTTTGTTTATTTTGAGCTTCCTCCTGTAGATAAAGATCTACATGTGGATTTTGAGAACATGTAAAACATGAGTAGAAGAGAAACCTCACCCAAACCCAGCAGTCTGTCCCCCAGTCAGAGAGCAGAAGTCACTATGCAGGTCTTACATTTCAACTAAGGTTACACAGAACTTCTGACTAAGCATGGAAAGCAACCTCCAAGTATGATGGAATTCTAGGACATTTTCAGCAGCGCCAAGAAGCCAAACTCTGTGTAGCTGTGCCTGCAGAGATCTGTCATTTGGACAGCCAGGACTCAAGGTGAGCAGAGCTACTGATTTTGGCACTGCAATTCAGTCTTTGTTACTAAGTCAAATTAGTACTCTTCACTGGTGCAGGAAGATACAGGGATAGTCTCAACAAATCACTCTGGAAATTTATTTTTAAGAACTCTCTATCCATCTTAATGGAAGACACAATCTTATTTCCCAATCATTTTCTCACAATTAGCTCAAATATTAGCACTAAAACAGTGAATAACATCCGTTTTACAAAATCTTTATTTTTGTAAAGATATGCTCCACCACATCTAGAGGGAAAAAGGGAAATGGTGGACTCCTTCAGGACAGGAGTTTTCCCACAATGAGTACGACTAATAAAAGAAATGTTAGACCCTCTCAACATAAATGCAATTGTGTGCACAAAAGTGACTCCAAGACACACTGTTCAGGTGTACAGTGGCTAAAAACACTTACCAGCGTTTTTCTCAGGCGCTCGTATTCTGGACGATACTCTCTGAAAAGGTAAATAAAGAGAGTGCATTCAGTCTGAAAAACACATGATTAGTATTACATAAGGATCATCTTGGAGGCTTCTCTGTACCCCAAAAAAAGTTTTCTCTAGGCTTTCAGGTTTGAGAGACAGATCAGAAAGACTAACAGTACTTTTTCCCCCATATTTGGATTCTGAAACCAATGGATGCAAAATAAATGAACATACTTCATTAAAACAGCAACAATTCAAACCTTGGTATGGAATTACAAGAAAAAAATTACTTCACAGATCTGCTGGCACAGATAGCTTTTGCTTTTTCATGGAACAGCACAAAAATTCATTTCTGAATTTTCCTTTTTACTGCTGCTTTTTATGCTGATACTAAAAAGGTTAAACTACCTTGGCTATGGAAACTGTACAGTCCTTCAAATCAAAGGAGCAGACTCATGAATCAGTACCTTCAGGAAGTGGTCACTGGGTCAGGGACCAAAAGTTATCCCCTTACCTCTCATATTCATCTACAGCTTTAGAAAGCTGGATAAAAAACTCATCCAGTCCTGTGCCAAGCACTGCAGAAACACCAACCACCTGTAAAAGAAAACACACCAGAACTAGAAAGTAACTGAGCCAGGTTTTTAAAATAGAAAAAAAAAACAAAATGAAAACGAACAAACAATTCCCCACAACAACAATAAAAAATCAACACCACAAAAAAACCCACCACCAACAAATAACAACAAATCTAAATCTAACAATACCCATTTAACCAGCACAGTGGCCTAAGAGTGTGCAGTAACACTTCTGCTTCTGTCCATCCTGCTTTCAAATTCTTCCTCTACTTGCTGTTCACGTTTGTTACTTCTGGTTTTGGTTGTTGGTGATTTTCTGTTTGGTGAGTTGTTGGGGTATTTTGGGGGGTTTCTTTGGGGAAGGAGGTTTGTTTGGTATTTTTTAACACTACAGGGCAATTCAAAAGAAAGGTCAAGTCTTTCTGCTGTTTACTTGTTTATTGTTAACAACCCAAGTTCTCACTCTGCATCTAGGGTTATAAGTGGTTAGCAAGTATCAGTGTACTAGAATTAAAGAGCAAAACTGACAATAAGAACTGACCTTTTGGCTCCAAAATTGTCTTAATACTTTTTATTTAGCCAAAGCATGTTTAAAAGGTCCCCAGAACAGCAAGAGATGGAGAATTTAATCAGTTGCTATAATTCAAAATGCACATCTACTTTCTAATTTGAACTTATCTATCATTACATTTCAGGCCATTTGTTCTGCTTGTGTTAAATCAATTATCTAAAAATACCTTTAATTAAGACTATTACCAGCCAGAATCATATATCATCTAATGAAAATTCTCCCTCTTTTTCATATGCAAGAGAGTCTCAACTACTGACTTCCAAATGGAAGACCTTTCCCAACACAGCCTTGCATCTGATCATTAACACAGTAAATATGCAGACAGCTCTCCAAAGGATTTTAAGCATTAAGGCTAAGCACTGTGCCAATATATATAAATATTTATACTTTCCCTGCACTTAAGTACAAGCTGCCTTTTACTCTGTAATCCTCTTCATATGACCTGCTCTCCATCCAGTGCTCTAACAGTTCTGAGAGGCAGATAACTATGACCTGATCAGCATTTAAGGAACAGGAAGTACATAAGTTCTGTATAGGGGACCACTACAATCCCTTTTGAAATTCTGTGTATCACTCCACATAGAACACTTAGAATATTTTACAATACTTTTGGCTAAACTATCATTATCCAAATGAACGGAATCAATTCGTCCTTGTAATATCCACACAGCCAAGAAGGCCTGCTTTTTCTTTAGTAAAAGCTGATGACAAACAATCAGCTAAAACCTTCAGCACAGACTATGGGATCATTAACGGCCTCCAATGCATAGTGTTTTCAGAGCAACAATTAATTTGTCCTCTCAAAACCTGGTTGAGCGGAAGAACAATCTTCTTCTTGCACAAGCAAATCTAAAGGGTTTTTTTGTTCCTTTAATTGTTTTTGAGATTCTTTCCCTTCTTCCTATGTAGTAAATTGCCCAACTGTACTTGACACTTTCAGAACAAGGAAAATTACCTCAGATGGGAAATGCTGCAGCAAAGAACACTGCCTCTTACCAGCCTATCTTAGCCTTCACCTCACAATTAATCACAGTTCAATATTAGATTATTCAGGCTGCCACTCAGTGTGACAAGCCACTACAGTTCTTGTATGTTCAAATCAGCAAATCCTCAACACGGGTCATCAACAGATTACAGTTCAAAAGGGCAGTGCAAAGTCCCTTTACAGAAGGACAGAATGGTGGGGCTTGGACAATACCTCTGGAGATCATCTAGTCCAGTCTCTCCTGCTCAAAAAGCAGGATTAGGTAGAACAGGTTGCTCACGACTTCGCCTGAGCAAAAGGGTTTTAAGCATCTCCAAGGATGGAGACTCCACAATTTCTCTGGACCATCTGTTGCAGCGCAGAATTAGTAAAATTAATTTTTTTTCTCTTCTGTTTAAACATAGTTTCCTGTATTTCACCTTGTGTCTATTGCCTCTTATCCTTTCCCCATGCACCAGTGAACAGAGTCTGCCGCTCGCCTTCCTTACACCCTCCTACCGGGCATTTATACACACCAAAAATATTCTCCTTGAACTTTCTGTTCTCCAGGTTTTTATGAGAGGTAATAAAAAAGGAAGACATTTACCTTCAGTGAACTGTAAAATTCATCCAACACTAAACTCATAGAACGAGTCAGGTTACTGACATAGGAGGTCTCTTGATTCAGGGCATCCTGAAAAGTCTCAAAGTCCTGCATCCATTCCACTGCAAAGCTGTGGTCAATTATGTCAGTCTGGAAGGAGAAGGGAAAATATTCAGAAATAATAATCTTACCCTTAGGCTGTTAAGTAGACAAATAATTAAAAAAATCCATGTTAAATGTATTTTTGAAATGTTGATCTTTTAAAAATATTCAGCTCTGGTCTGAAGTTTTGCAAGTTCACTTTTTATCAAATCAACTATGTGAATACAGGAAGAGAAGACAAACAACCGCTACTCCAGATTTAGGAAAGCAACAGTTGTTTAAGGAAACAAGTGAAAGTCTAAAGCCTCCTATGGTTTTACTGGAAAGGGGCATCCAAAAATTGCATACTGTACAATGAAATTTAAGGTGTAAATAGTAGATCATATGATTGAGGCCAGACAAGAACAACCCTCATTGAAGATCCCAAGCTTTCCTGATTGCCTGGGGGCCAGGGGAGCGAGGGCCACTTCCATGCTGGGTAACAGCCCACGGGATCTTTATGAAAGTGAGCTGTGTTCTGGCCCAAAGAAGTTATAATCTAAACTCAGTGCAAGACAACTGAAACAAACAGGTGAGATGGTTCCACAATTTTACATGGATTCATATGAAAACAGTCTATTACAGAGTTTCATAAACATCTTGCCACGTGCATATCCACTCTTAGCACAATATGAGGTGCCTGAAACTCTGATATATTTCATTTCCCTCACCAATGGGAAGGAGGAAGATAAACTATTACCTAGCATTACTCAAGAGATTTGAGACAGAATTGAATCCACCAAGGGTCAAAGCCTGACTACTTAGAGTTACCTTGATTAAAGTCTGTAAATAAAATGAAATCCCCTCTACAAATGACTCTTTTTTCCCTCTCCAAATCTTAAAATTCTTTACGCCTATGGGTTTGTCACTGCACGTATATCCCAGTTCCCTGGAATTCTTCCATTCTTATCAAGAGTCAATTTTAAAAAATTAAATTTAACTAAATTTTGTTAAAAATTCTTCCAATGCTATTGGCTTTACTTTTTAGCAAAGGCTAAACCCGAGATCAAAATGAAGTTTAAAATTATGAATCCTAAGCCTCAGGCCTACCTTTCCTTACACACACAGTGCCACTTCTTTTAGTCTTTCAAAAAGTGTATTTTCTTAAGAGAGAATTGTTTTCCTACTTCATGCCTTTTTCTACATGAAAAAAAAGCTAGACAGCTTATTCTAATATTACTGTCTAGAGTTAGAAAGAAAACAGTGTAAAAGAACTTGCTCAGTAAGCAAGCAGATACCAAATATATGCATGGTTTGGGTCACTGGGCGGATGGGTGGAGCTGGAGCACAACAGACACTGATCCTACTCGGTTGGTGTGAGGAAAAATAGCCCAGTCAAGGCATGGCATATGTGTGCACACACAAAGCTTGCTTAGTTGGGGATACAAATACAGAGGATGCCTGTGGAGAGCAGTAACTCATACCAAAAATCTAATGGGATTCTTTTAATATCTGAAATTATTATGTTTAAAGATATAGCTGTTAAGCTCAAAAGCATTAAGGCTACAAGTTCCTTACACAACACTGGATGTGTATCCTTAGACTAGGTATCTGCTCTCTAGCAAATACTGCACCAAACATCTTTTTTAAGTTTTGCCTGCTACAACAGGTGGGACTCCACAGTCAAAACAGGCAGGTGTTACACCATTCCCACTGTGAGTCATTAGCCTGCTGTTGAGTGGAAATAATAAAGATAAGTATTCTGGGGAAACAGGGCACATAAGAGTAGATTGTGTCATGACCTTACCCTTTTTTTACAGAGTTACCTTTCCCCATAATCCAGGCTTAAGTTGCAAAACATGTTTCAAATTGTTAGCACACTTTCTGACTTGAATATTTGGGTGCAATTGCCCATCCCTGATTATTCTTGTTCATTTGGATACCAGATTAAAGACCCTTTTTAGATTCAGTTATCAGCCTGCAGCTCCCTCCCAGCCTCTCTTTTCTAGAAAAATCTATTATTGTGGTAAGACAAAGACACCACAGCAAAGAAGCTAAACAGAACAATGTCCCATGAGGACACAGAAACCAGAGCTTTAACTTACTTTGTTCATGACTACAATGAAAGGTAGCTTTGTCTTGTACAGGATACTGGGGGGAGACACAAAATACAAGTTTAATTTAAAATTTCCTAGAATAGAAAGCAATTTAAACATAAGGCAGACAATACTTGTGCAAAACTGAATACATTTGACTTCAAAAGATAATTATTTTCTTCTGCACCAAATAGAATGTAATTTTCCCCCAGGTCCTGCTTACAATCGTTGAACAAAATATTCTCCTCCAAGATGTAAGATATAAAATCTCCTACACATCCAGTTGAGTTTGGTTACCATTTTCTATGATGCTAAGATCACAGTTTTTAACTCTCTGTGCATTCTGCATTTGACTCAAACCTTAGGTTCTGAGAGATTATTTGTGAACTGAGTAATGAATTCACATAACACAGAACATCTATAAAGCAAAATTACTTTGACACAGGAGCTCACATATTCATTTCACTGTATATATTCTATGATCTTTTGCTCAAACTAATGTCAGAAAATGCAATATGTAGTAAAACACAGTTTGCACACTCCTTTCACAGTGATACAGCTCTTGACCTTGGTACAAGGTTTGGGAGGTTTTTTGAAAACAACATTTACCATGAATTATGACAACTCTAGCTATGTTGATGGTTCCATAGGTATTTAGTCTCTGGTGAAAGACATCAAAGAAAACAGATAAATTCATGTACGAAGAAGAAGACAATAAATCAAGAGCTCCATGCTATGCTGAACTCCAAGCAAATCTTGAAGAATTGCTTAAAAGTATCAACATTAAAAAAAAAAATACTTTGTATTTACAAGAAGGAGCTTAAACTAGCCTATCTTGATTCATCTTAGATAACTGGTTTTATGAGCAATAGGCAATATGTTAGAGCTAATATAACCAGCCTTCCTCAAGCAAAGGTCTCATGGATTATTTAATGCTTTCAGTGGAAGTTTTGACCCAATGGCCTCCAGATGTCCATTGGCACCTAAATTATTCTGCTTCTCCAATGGGAAAACCACTAAGAGAATAACCAAACCAGCAGACTAAGTGGATATGAGGCATCCAAGTCCACTCGCAAGCACACATCCAACCATACCCTGGGCTGCATCAAAGCCAGTGTGGGCAACAGGGTGAGGAAGATGATTCTCCCTTTGTACTCTGCTCTCATCCCACCCGGGGCACTGCGTCCACCTCTGGGAACCGCAGTAGATATGGACCTGTCAGAGTGGGCTCAGAGGAGGTCACGAAAACCATCACAGAACTAGAAGGCTTCTCCTATGGAGACAGGTCAGAGAGTTGGGGCTGTTCAGCCTGGAGAAGACTTCAGGGAAGTTTTACTGCAGCTTTCCAGTAAACAAAGGGGTTTATAAGAAAAATGGAGAGAGACTTTTTACCAAGGTTTGTAGTGATAGGACAAGGGATAATGGTTTTAAACTGAAAGGGACATACTGACAAAATTTTTCATGATGATAGTGGAGAGATACTAGAGCACACTGCACAGGGAAGCTGAGGTTGCCCCATCCCTGGAAGTGTTCAAGGCCAGGCTGGATGGGACTTGGAGCAACCTGGGATAGTGGAAGGTATCCCTGCCCACAGAAGAGAGGGTGCCCTTTAAAGGTCCCTTTCAAACCAAATCATTCTATGATTCCCCTCCAAAATAACTACCAAAGAGACACAGCAGTCAGAGCAGATGGACTGCATTTCCAACTTTTCCTACCTGCAGGCATACAGCATGTTGGACATAAAAGTGATAGGGTTAGTACTGCGAGAGGTGTCCATCACATAGACAACAACCGAAGGAAAAGAAGAAGCCTGGGAACACAAAGTAAAAGACAGTTTAATTAGGAGTACACTGATCAATAGCCAGGTCATTCACACAGCTTCACTGTTCAGTCATGTAAAAAGCACTTACCAAGGCCTCAGTTATGATGGTTCCTGATGCTGACCAGGTGAATACCTCAATTTGCCCTGGTGTGTCAATAATAACATACCTGGTAAGAAGTCACCCCAAACAACAAAAAGGGAAAATTAGTTAAGCATATGGGCCTGTTCTGACTAGATTACCACCAGCATTCAATAGCAAATTACATAACTATTCTGTTACAGAAAGAAAAGCTTCTCCCAAACAATGATTAGATTTATGGGCACACCTAAAGTTTCCTGTGAGAAATTTGTAATTAAGAAGTATGTACTATCTTGAGTTGAAGGCATCTTCAGAAGAACTAATTGCTGCCTATTTGAACAGTATGTGACAGAAAATGATAGTCTAATGGAAGACAAGAAAAGCAGAACTCTAATCAGCAGACTTTTCTTTGATCTATCCAAAGAAAGTCTAGTTTATCTGTTCTAATTCTATGCCCTTTTCTACACAAAACTTCTACCAAGGCTGAAAAAAACAACTAAAAAACATGGAGAGAAGCTTTTTAGAATTTCACATGATTTTCCCACGCTTATCCCAGAAAAGTAGAACTTGGTAGAATGTACTCACTTGGATGCATTTTGTCTTTTTTCAATAAACTTCATCACCTGATTGAGAAAGCAAAGTATACTTGGTATCTAGGCTCACAACAGGAAACCTTCATCTTCATTTCATAACAGAAACTACATTAACTTGCACAGCTGCAGGTGTGTATCAAAACATTAAAGTCTTTAAGCTTTTCAGAGTGTGAGAATGAGCTACTAAGGAAGGGTGAAAAATGCTCAGACTCTGCACAGGTCAAAGACAACCTTGATTTTGTCTGTGTTCTAGTACCTGGCTAAAGAAATGGTAGAACAACGGCAGTTGTTCCTTGCCTTTTCACTAAGAGATTATCTAGGTATGTGACATCAGTCCCCATACCAGAGCTGCTTTACTTTTATAATTTAGGAGGGCTGTCAATTGTCAAACTGAAATCAGGAAAACTTAGCCTGTTTCCAGAAGTGAGCTTCCCTGCTTCAAAACCAGAGCATTCATATGAAAGACTTTATAGTGAACATAGTGCAACAACAGTCCTATACAAAGACTAAAGAATGTTCTGTACATGTGACTGCTGAATTTTACTTTTAAAAAAAAGCTGAAAAACTGAAATCTCTCAAATGAAAGCTAATGTATTCTGACTGCATTGTTAGATGCAGGGTTCTGTAAGGAGAATAACTCCCCAGAAATATTAGAAGGCTAACCAAACACAGTGCCCTCTGAGAGTCCAGACAGACAAAACTGCACAGTCATCATAAGCACCCAGCACAGATCATAGGAACAGCACACAGAAACAACCTTGTACCTGGTCAAATCTTGTAGCAAAGAGATTGAGAGAGGTCACTATTCCACCATTTGGGCCTAGCCCATATCTGATGCTTCATTTAGGAAAGCAGATGGTTATGCAGACCCCAGAGGGCTTCTTTTTCAACTCTGACAACACCTGGCCATGTGCAATGCACACTGGATACCTTGAAGCAAGACACAAAACCCCCTAATAAAAAATTAAATCTTCTAAGTGATGCAGCAGCATAACAAATACAAAGTGTCTCTCTCTTACCCAAACAGGTGTCATTTACAGAAGGAAAAGGGGCTACATGGCTTCCCCTTGGCATTTTTGGTTTAACTGTGCAAGAACCAGCACTGACTCATCTGTACACACCGATTTATCAATCATTACTCTCAATATCCAGACATGAGGCCAGACCCTCCTTAGGCACTATTTAATGAAATACCAAAACTCCAGTAATGGTTAACAGACACAGTGAAACAAACAATGCACCTACATATCAATTAGAAACTTATATTTAGGATGTTTTGCTGGTAACCCCAAATCAAACAACAGCCAAAATCAAGAATCCTATTCCCCACCACCTTTATTCTTGTCTAAAATACTAAACTTAAGAGTCATACTTGTAAGTCAAATCCAAGCACTATGTTTTGTCTCCATCTGCACAAGCTATTACTTAGGATACCAAGGAGCTCCACAGCCCTCTGGAAGTGCAGTCACTCTAGTGTAATGTTACTGCGCTACAGTCATCGACCCTCTGTGAACAAGAGCCAATGTTCCAATGTCTCTGAGATTCAGAGAGACAACAGTGCTTCGATTACAGTCAGAATAGGCAAATAGGAATGTCCATATTTGCTAATAACATATAAAATGTGTCTTGTTAGAACATGGGAAAAGGCTGCTGGCTTCCACAAAAAATAAACAATACAAGTTCTCTGAAGGAACAAAAAAGAAAAAAAAAAGAAAAAAGAAAAAAAGAAAAAAAAAAAGGAAAAATATGTGGGCCGAGTACCTATTATTTGTAAAAACTTACTGTTAGGCAGAATAATTTTTAGCACAGGAGAAAATGACCTAAGGAGTATTAAATCTTGTTAAACACACGTTCCTAATGTCACATGTAAGAAATAGTCAAAACCTTTTGATCTTCATGCAACATTCTGCATTACTGCAACCCCCTCCACATCCTGAGATGGTTCTGTGCAGGGCCCAGAGTCAGACTCCATGATGCTTGTGGGTCCCTTCCAATTTGGTAGATTCTGTGATTCTGTGATTCATCGCAGTGTGCAGATAACAGACTATTTTCACAAAACTTGAGATTTCAAATATCATTATTTAGACACAAAAAGGATACTGTTTCATGACTTCTTTGTACTTCACGGTGTCCCTGATATCTAAGGGAGAAAGACACATAAGCAGTTTTCCAAACCCCAACTGGTCACCATCAGCTAACAAAGCACACCTATCTATCCGCATTACTAGAAACCCAGCACTGGAACAGATATTCCAATTATTACTCTGACATCAGTGAAACAACTTGCGTACCCACGCAGCTTTTCTTAGCCTCTGGAGAGGCAGGCTGACATACTTCACAAAATGTAATACATAGGATTGTGACAAACCTAGGAATTGGTATGCCCGGTGGAATAGCTAAACATAAGGTCTATTCTATTACTAAGATATTTTCCCTCAAATTTGTGTCTGTTAAAGTGCTTTAAAGCTGTTAGTTGGTAGCATATATGGCTACCACTATTGTGGATGTAGGGAACCGGATCAAATCTGCTAATACTTTCATCACTGACAAAGAAAAAACCTCCAGAACCCAAACACATCAAATCAGAGCAGATGATGTAAAAAACCATACAAATGTGAAGGAAGAACGCCTTTAATTCTAAAAATTCCCATGTTAAAGACTGTTTCAAGAAAGAAGTTAACACTAAAAAAAAAAAAAGCCCACAACCAAAAAAAACCACCACCATCTTCTTGTGTTAGAACTTGGAACGTCTTAAGGGCAACCCAGCCACACAGCTCACGTACCCGGCCCCGGTCCCTGGGACAGGAGCCAGTTCTGCCGCTACTGATGGCACTTGCTCTCTCTCGGAGGACTCCAGGCACACGCCGCCCCTCTGGCCGGGCCCACCCGCCCCCGCCCGGCCGGGCCCAGCGCTCACCGATGTTGGCGGGGAAGGGCAGGTCGTGCACGGCGGGGTCCAGATTGATCACGTACGGAGGGCAGCGCTGCCCGTGCAGGTGGGCGGCCAGGCACTGCGGGAACACGGGAGGTGTCAGGCCCGGCTGGGCAGACCCGGGGACCGCCGGCAGCTCCCCGCAGCCCCGCCCCGCCCCTCACCTGCACGAAGGTGGTTTTCCCGGAGCCGGCCATGCCCAGCACTAGCACACACACCGAGCTTCCCTCCGGGCCTCCCGGTGCCGCCGCCATCTTCCCAGCTCCCACGTGTGCTTCCGGGGCGCGGGGCGGTCGCTCCCCGGCCGTGACGCGCGGCCCCGGCTGTGGGCCTGCCGTGCGGTCCCGCGCAGCCTCCTGGCACTGCACGGCGCGGCGGGGCCTGGGGCGGGCGGCAGCACCGCGGCGGCGCTCGGGACGGCCGCGCCGCTCGGGAGGGCCGGCCGGAAGCGGCGAGCGGGATCGCGCGGGCGGGCGCAGCGCTGACGTGGCGGCGGCACCGGCACCATGCGGGGCGGCGGTGACTCGGTGAGTGCCTGCGGTTCTCCCGCAGGGGCCGCCGCCGGCTGCCTCGGAGAGTGCGGCCGGGCCGCGGGCCAGGGGCTGCCGCGAGATGGGCTCCGCCGCCAGGATGGCGGGAGCGGGCCGGCGCCCCCGAGGGTCTCGCTGGGCCCGGCTCTGGAGGGAGAGCGGCCCGGCCTGGCGCGAGGAGCGGCCCCGCTCTGTTCGCGGGCGGGCGGCGAGCGGGACCCGCTCCGGGCTGCCGGGGAGCGGCGGCGGCAGCGGCCCCTGTCCGCCCCAAGGCCGGGCCGCCCGGCCGGGCTCTGCTCGGCTCGGGGCTGACGCGGACTCGCAGCAGGGCGCTGCTGGTGCCAGGGCTCGCGCTGGGGCCCAAAGGCCTTCGCTGCAGGACAGTGCAGTTCAGGGAGCGTGCGGGTGGCGGTGGCAACGTGGCGCTGGACACTGAGCCCTCCCGCGCGTCCCGGGGACACTCGGGGCCCGCAGGACGCCCGGGGCTCCCACTGGCACCTCAGGACCCGCAGTTCCCGTGTTAGAATCCTCCCGTCGGGCAGTTCCTGTGCTGGGCTTAAGCACCGTCTGCCTGGGCTGGATGCTGGAGAGCAGCCCGTCTTCAGCAGCAACCGTGATCCAGCGCACTGGAAGGGCCCACAGCCCGAGGGCAGGCAGAGATCGCCACTCTCCAGCTTTCAGGCTCTGAGTCGCTGTTTCTCTTCCTCACCTGTGTAGGGGAGGTGGCTTTTTTGTTTTCCTTTTGTCCAGCCCTTGGGCATTCCTGCATATGTATTAGGTCTCTCTTAAGTGGAAAGTACACAGTATAAATGAAAAAACTTTCAGAACTGAATTTAAACACCAGTTTCTGTAGGTGTTTCCTTCATGGTTGCTGCTATCAGCTTCTCAGAAAGGAATGTCTGACAGATCGTCTGTACTCTCCTTTTTTATTGCAGATCCTTAACTGCCTCCAAAGTTCTGTGTACTAATCTTCACTTTTATGCAAATTTTTTTAGTTCTAAAAATCCCATGAATCTTAAAACATGTGCCACATTTCGGTCAATTTGGCTTTTCTAATGGTAGAATAGACCAGCTAATTTCAGCAGACTCTGCCTGCCTGTTTCTTCATTTTTATTGTTGTAACTTCATAGCCCTGATTTTTTCTGTCTGCTCCTCAGTGAGATTTCTCCACATTTCTCATTTCCATAACCTTTCCACGAGGAGCCTCTGGGGCTGGAGGCCCAAGGAGAGTCTGACACTCCATAGACACAGTTTTAAAAATTCCTCTAAATGTTTGTGTCAGTGCATGCTACTGAATTTGCTCGCTGGCAGTTGGAGTGTTGATCACATGCATCGCCTTTTTCCATAAAGAAGACATGTAATTTAGCAATATTTTCTTTTTCTTTTTTTTTTTTTTTTTATTCTTTTATTTTTGTTCTTCCAGTTTCTTAACCAGTTCATGTACATGGCAAAATACTACCTCTGTTCAGTAAATTACAGTTTCGGTTTTCATATGGTTCCATTGAGCAATGATTTTTAGTTTTTTAGTCTGTATAACCAAGATTTTTGTCCTGGGTTTCCAAATCAAGAATGACATTGAGTCATTATTAGCATTTGGAAGAATCTGATGATTAAATGCAAAGGGCAGCAGTGAATGGGGTGACATCAGATTGGCAACCTGTCACTGTTTTAAATTTAAACATAAATTAAAAAAAAAATAAAAATAAAACAAAAAATAACTGGGAGGGGCTGTTGACTCCCTCGAAGGCAGGGAAGCCCCACAGAGAGACCTCAACAAATTAGAGGGCTGGGCAATCTGAGGGCACTTTGTGTGTTCAGCTGGAGGAGACTGAGGGGAGACCTCATTGCAGTTACAACTTTCTTGGGAGGGGCAGGCACTGAGCTGTGCTCTGTGGGGACCAGGGACAGGACTCCAGGGAACGGCTGGAGCTGTTCCGGGAAGGTTTAGGTTGGATATTAGAAAAAGGTTCTTCACCCGGAGGGTGGTTGATCACTGGAACGGGCTCCCCAGGGCAGTGGGCACAGCACCAAGGCTGAGAGAGTTCAAGAGGCATTTGGAAAATATTCTCGGGCACATGGTGTGACTCTTGGGGAATGTCCTGTGCAGGCCTAGGAGTTGGACTCAATGATCCTTGTGGGTCCCTTCCAACTCGGCATATTCTGGGATTCTGGGAAACGATTGTCCACGCACTAGGAGCAACATAGAGCAAATAAGTTGTTCGCACTGAATTGGGAATGTGCATTTAGATAGGTCTATTAAATTACATGTCTTAATAGGAGCGTAACAAGTGGTAAGTGACAAAAAAAATCTTTGTTAAATAAGAAGGAGTCTGTGATGTGGATAAAGTGAACATCGGTGCAGCTGATGGAGTGTGGCAAAGTGAGATCAATGAAAAGAGCATGAAGGAGACTAGAGACAACATTTTTGGCAACATCCATGGTAAATGCAAGAATTAATTAAGGAAAAAATAAGCACTGTGTAAAAACTAACAAGTTAGGATCTAAAATGTCATCGTGTGATAGTCTAAGCAGAAAGTATGTGTGGCTGAATGTACTGGAGACAAAGAGCACTTCACCATGTGACACTGGAAGAGGAGGAATTGGCTTTCATATGAGAAGGGTGGAAGGGCTCATCCCTTCCAGTTCTAATTTAATTCCAGTTCTAATTCAGATGGATTTAGAAATATTAAGCACTTCCACTGTTGTGGAAAACAGTGGTTTCCTTTTCGAAGGATGGTATATACACATCTTCGATGTGCAGGTGATTGTGTTTGACTGGAAAGTTAAACATGCTGAAAGAAGACAATGATGATGCTCATGTGAATTGTTCTGTTTTGTTAGAATGCCAGAACTGGACATCACAGACAGCAGAAGGTCAAGAAGTCCTTGGAAAATAAAAAGTATGTGAATATTTCTTGTCTAGTTTGACTGAGGGCAAGAAAAAAACGAAGAGATTCTTACTGAAAAACTGTATCTGGTCTTTATATAACATTGTGAATTTTAAGAGCTGCAGCAGTTTTAGTTTGTGTGATATGAGTCTCAACTGACTCTGCTGTTTGGTTTATGGGAAAAGTGCTTTTCTGACACTTCAGTGTGTTTGTTTGGGTTTTTTTAAGGATTTTAATACTGTGAAGATAAATATTTTAAGTCCAAGGCCACATGGTCTTTCAAAATCTATATATTTTGGGTGTGATTGTAACTGAAAGGCTTTAATTTGAGAATTCGTCTCCCCATGCTTCTGCATTACCTCCTTAAATATAGTATATATTGATCTGACCTGGTACTGTCAGTGTCCCCCACTTAGTAATTCCTGAATTGATGGGTTAAAAGGTGAGCTCCACAGCTCAGGGAGAGTATTAATTGAATGGCCACCACAGTCATCACTCAAGTGATCTACTTATTTCAGTTTGTGAATTGTAGTAGCAAAGTGTTTCTGTTCTCTATTCTTTTGTCTTTACATTAATGGTATTTGCCCAGAGAATAGATACTCTGTGTTTCTTTACCACCTCATCAGTTTGCTGTTATGTACAGGAGTATAAATGTCCAGGCATGTCAAACCTGAGAAATATTTGAGAACAGTGAAACAAAGTTCTGTTTGATGTCTAGGAAAAAAATTCAATGCCACTGATTAATCTGAATTAGTCTTAATGTAGTTTGATTTGTGGGATATACTAGAAGGTTGTCTTCATTGCTGAAAAGTCTTGCTAGTTAAAATTCTTACTAGCATTAAGGCTTGTAATGGTGTAGTGACAGCCTTGACTCTGAGAACAGAGACTGAAGGAGATCTTGCCCTTTGTGGGATGAAAAATGTCTCTTTTGTAATGATGAGTTGCAGAAAAATTCTTATATTCTACATTGGTTGCTTAAAGATAAATGCATATTTTTAAATTGCGATTCACTTATGCCTGCTTCTAAAGTCGAAGGTTTGAGGTAGAAGGAATGTTTTTTCTGCTCCTCTGGAGCACTTACTAATGTCATTATCTAAAAGATGTACTTTAAAAAAATACCTTAAAGGTGTACTTTAGATTAAATTTAGATTATTAAAAAATACTTTAAAGATGTATTTTTTAAAGTACATAAAGATGTACTTAAAAAAAAAAAACAAAAACATTGAAGATGGTTTATCTTGGTGGTATTTTTCAGTTCCCAAAACACAGGAGATTCAATGAACTATGGGATGAATTTTTAGAATACTTGGGAAGATGAAAGGGGTGTTGTCTTTCAAGTTATTGTGATTGTGTGTGTGTATATGTCTGTATACAGATATGCGTTCATATACATAGGATTTCAACTTGGTGTTTTCCAGGTCTAAGCAATTTGAGGAGGTGGAAACTACTGCTCTGGGAGTGAACAGGAACTGTGATGACACAGGGAGCAACATTTCTTCTGCCTCACCGAAGGGCCCAGTGAATGGGAGCAGAGAGTCCAGAAGCAAGCGGACCATTCGCAGACCTGCTTACTGGCTGGAAATGAGAGGAGTGAAAAACAGTGTAAGCAAATCTCCAGGAAAAAAAGGTACTTATCACTGTTGGTTCAATATAAAATGTTCTCTCTGGTTCTTTTGTGAGAGATTAGTTTGCTTCTGAAAGATATGCTGCAGTTCAACCACAAATTCCAAGTTTCTTAGTGCTGCTCATGTATTAGAAGAAATTAACTTCTTCCGCTGCAGAAATATGGGTACAGTTGTCTGACATTACACAGTTCCTTTTGAGTGACTTGTCTATTAAAACTGATGATTCTGTGGCTAAACTCAATTTTATCTGTAGAAGAAGTATGTGAAAGAGTTATGCCAATCATGTCAGAAAAATGCTTTGAGAGATTTGAAAATAGAACCATCAACACTGATGTGCCAAAGGGGACCATTCAGCAGTAGCTGGGATTAGACACAGCTTTTGTGTTTTGTAGGCTGTTATTTTTTAAGGGTGTCTTTATTTCTTTTATTTCCTTCTGTCATTTATGATTTTCTGACTGGGAGTTGGGTCTTAAGTTGTTGTAGTATCATTCAGATTTCCTGGCCTAGGAGCTGTTTTCCAAACTTACTGTATGGCAGAGAGCCAAAACTTTGATCTGTTTTATTATTCATTCTTCTTATCTCTAAGTCAGAATCTGTATTCCATCCTGTTGCGGGGAGAGGCAAATCTGGTAGCTTGACAGAAACAAGATTGCTGCAGCTCCAGACCCCCAGGTCCAGCTGGTGGTGAGACTGAGCTTGTATCCTTGTAGGAATAAACGCAGACATAAAACATACATATACAGCAGCCACACAGATCAGCATTCACACAGACAGCACCAACAGCCTCCATCCTGTTCCCTCTCTGGCTGATCAGGATGAAGATGTGTTAGTGAGAGAAAAAGAAGGATATAAAAAAGTACATATAAAACAAGTACACATATATATGTGTATGTTTGTGTGTGCACACATGTGCAATGTGGATCTCTCCTGCAGCTGGACTTAAACGCTCAGTCTGCTCAGTACCTGGCCTTTGGATCCCGGTCTCCTCAGTTGCTGGTACATGGAGGTACTAGCCCCTGAGGCCCGCAGAGCTGTGCCAGGGGCGGGTGTAGACCTCGTTACAGACAGACTCACTCACAGAGTGGAGGTGAGGTTTTTATGACGTAACCTAGCACCTTCAGGGTCTCATCCCAAGGAGGCTTATTTTCCCAGACCATGCTGTGGCACTGCTTCTTCCGTATCTTCTGCGTCAGAGAATTGCAGGCTGTGGAGTGCCTAAATGTTGCTAAGTTAGAAGACTCTAACTCAATAGTTAGAGTCTAACTCACTGGTGTCCAAGTGCCTTACAAGAACTACTCTTTTTTTTAATCAAGTATTGAATCCAAGGGTAAGCTGGGGCAGCGTAGACTCAAAGGTTGAATACTGAGTCTGAAGCGTTTCTGTTCTTACTTATCAGGAGAAGTACTATTGAAAGGCAAGAGGAAATCTGAGCAAGGGGAAGGTGAAGATGTTGAAGAGTCTCCCAAGAAGAAGCAAAAACTTTGTGGTAATACAAATAACTTCTAATTCCTAACTACAAGCCTCCAGGTACTTCACACTTCTTTGCCCAAATGTCATCTTCTACAGTCTTCAAACTTTATTTTGAATTCTGGACTTTTTGTTCTAGGAGACTGTTGACTAGTGTCTGCTTTATGGTGAGAGATGATTGTTCTAATTTTAGTCTGTCTTAGAAGTCCAGCAAAGGGAGGGAGGAAGGCAAACAGGGGAAGTGTAGGCTTGGCTGCATCATTTCAGTTTCCCAAAAGATTATAGACTAAATAATCAGACAGATTACTTGTAAACATCTGGAGATTAGTGAGTAGATGACGACAGCAATATGGGTTTGTTAAGAAATCAAACCCAAACACTTTTCTTTTGCCACAGAGACGGAGGGGAGAAGTGCTTGATATCATAGGTCTTTCGTTCCTTCAAAAGGTTTGTCAATCAGTGGTTAGGTGCAAAAGGAGGTGTACAAGTGGTGAAAGTAGGAGCAGGTGACACAGGAGAAGTGTACATTTGCTGTCCAGTCATGCACGGATGAGATTAGGAAAGCCAAGGCCAACCTGTAGTTGAATCTTGGAAGGCATGTGAAAGGCAACAAGAAAGGGTTCTACAAGAACATGAACAGCAAAGGGAAGACTGGGGAAGCATGAGTGCGCTGCTCAGCAGAGCAGGAGAGCTGGTGACAAAGGACATGGAAAAAGCTGAGGTACTCAATGCTTCCTGTGCTTCAATCTTTATCTGTTACAGGAATCCTTCAGGAATCCCAAGAGCCTGAGACCAGACAGAGGGAAAGTCTGGAACAAGGAAGCCTTACACTCAGCAAAGGAGGACAAGGTTAGAGCACTTAAACTGGATTTATCAAATCATTTGCTGGCAGCCCTGGTTAAGGGGGATGGTCCCAGAGGGCTGGAGATCAGCCAGTGTGACACCCATCTACAGGAAGGGTCAGAAGGAGGATCCAGGGAACTACAGGCCTGTTGCTCTGATCTTAGTGTCAGGGAAGGTCATGGAGCAGATTATCTTGGGTACCATTATGTGGCACATCTGGGACAACCTGGTGATCAGGCCCAGACAGCATAGGTTTAGGAAAGGCAGGTCCTGCTTGACTAACCTGATGTGACAGGTTAAATAACCTGCTTGACTAACCTTCTGTGACAAGGTGATGCACTTCATAGATAAGGGAAAGACTGTGGACGTTATTTACCTGGACTTTATTAGACACCATTTCCCACATCATTCTTCTGGAGATGCTCATGGAGATGCAAACTGGCTACTCATGGCTTGGACAGGGACGCTCTTTGCTGGGTAGAAGGCTGGATGGACGGCCAGGCCCAGAGAGTCGTGGGGAATGGAGTGACATCCAGCTGGGGCTGGTCACCAGTGCTGTCCCCAGGGCTCAGGATTGGTCCAATGCGGTTTGATATCTTTATTGATGATCTGGACAAGGGGATTGAGTGCACCTTCAGCGAGTTCACAGATAACACCAAGAGGGCTCTGCAGAGGGATCTCAACAGGCTGGATCAATGGGCTGAGACTAACAGTGTGAGGTTCAATAAGGTAAGGTGCCGGGTCCTGCCCTTGAATCACCACAACTCCATGCAGCACTACAGGTTTGTGGCAGAGTGGTTGGAAAAGGACCTTGAGATATTGGTCAGCAGTAACTCAACATGATCCCAGGTGTGCCCAGGTGGGCATGAGGCCAGTGGCCCCTGGGCTGTCCCAACACTGCTGTGGCAGGAGAGCCAGGGCAGTGCCCATTCCTGTGCTGGCACTGCTGGGGCACCTCCAGTGCTGGGGCAGTTCTGGGCCCCTCAGACAAGAAACACATTGAAGGGCTGGAGTGTGTCCAGGGAAGGGAATGGAGCTGGGGGAGGGGCTGGAGCAGCTTGGGGGGGGGGCTCAGCCTGGAGAAAAGGAGGCTCAGGGGGGACCTTCTCACTCTCTGCAACTCCCTGACAGGAGTGGGGAGCCAGGGGGGATCGGACTCTGCTCCCAGGGAACAAGGGACAGGATGAGAGGGAACGGCATCAAGTTGCACCAGGCTTAGATGTGATATTTGGAACAGTTTTTTCCCCAAAAGGGCTGTCCAGGCCTGGCACAGCTGCCCAGGGCAGTGAAGGAGCCCTCATCCTTGGGCTTGAAAGCGGTGTGGATGAGGCACTTGGGGACATGGATTAGTGGTGGCCTTGGCAGTGCTGGGGAATAGTGGTCTTAAAGGGATTTTCCAACCTAAACAATTTATGATTCTAAGTCCCGTGGGGCCTGACAGGTTGCACTGAATGCTGAGAGCTGGCTGATGCCATCGTGAGGCCACTCTTGGCTGTCTTTGAAAGGTCGTGGTGACTGGGAGAGGTTCCTGAAGACTGGAAGAGAGCAAATATCACCCGTATCTTCAAGGACAGAAAGAAGGAAGATCTGGGGAACTACAGACCAGGCAACTTCACCACAGTTCCTGGGAAGGTGATGGAGAGATTCATCCTGGAAAGCATTTCCAAACACATGAAGGACAAGATGGGGATTTGAAGTAGTCAACATGGATTCGTGCTGGGCAAATCCTGTTTAATCAACCTGATAGCCATCTACAGTGAGGTCACTAGTGAAATAGTAGTATAAATTGATGGTTCTTTGTCACTGTAGAAGTGGAATCTGTCCCTAGATTCAGTTCTAACTATTGATTTTGTCACCAAGGACTTGAAACTATGTAGGCAGCACAAAGCTGAAAGAGGTGGCAAGTGTATCAGAGAAAAGGCTGAAAGTGAAAGTAGTCTTGAGATTAGGGAAACAATAAAAATAGAACAGAGAAGAGTGTGTAAAATTAAAGATTCTGTAGTTTGAGAAGAAATGCTATCATAGCTGTAAACCAAAGAACAGCCTCCCAGGAGTCAGTGCTTCAGAAGAGGATTTGAGATTTATAACAGATCAAAAGCTGAATAGGGAGCAGCAGTGTCATACTTGTTTTTAAAAAGGCAGATGTTAGACTGAGAACTTTGAGAGGAATATAGAGTTCTCAGACATGTGAAGTAATTCTGTTGCTCTACTGCAGGGTCACACATAGAGTGCTGTTTCCAGCAGCAGGCACTTCAGTTCAGGAAATGTGTGGTCCAGCTGAAGAGGTCAGGGAGATGAGAGTAAAAGGCATAACCCATGAGAAAATACTGAAACAGTAAGAGTTGAATCAGTAGAGAAATGGGACTTTCCGCTTGGTTGTCATTAGATGGGCTCAGTCAAACTGTGCACAGAGGATGTTTCAGTGTGAAGAGTTCCAATCTCCTGAGCTAGGTGTATGAAAAACCATACACCTACAAATATCTGGATGGGACTAATGCCTACCACTGTAAATAGCCATGGATTTAGAAGGGGAGTAGGAAACATAATCTTGAAATTCCTTTAAAAAAAAAAAATTGAACATTTCTGAATGAGTAACTTTGAGACAGCAAGCTAAATAGCAACCTTCCAGCAAAAAGATCTGCTTTTTTGTAACAAAACTAGCAGAACTAAGTCTTCTGGCCTGTTCTGTTTGTGTTAAAACAGGAGAAAAACAGCAAGCTGGAAGAAAACAAAACTCCAAAAGGAAAGGCCACTGTGTTCAGAAAGAGACAGAAACCTATGGCACAGGTAAGAACAAGAGACAGTTGCTCAGAATTGTTTGTAAAACAGCTGTGATTCTAGGATTTGAATCTGAGCAACAGCTTGTGTTTCTGGTGTTTGGTTCTTTGCTTTACTGTTGACAAGGAAGAGCTGGCTGCTGTCCTTCTGGCACCATGTCAGTACTGCAGAGCAGGACTGGAGGGACCGCACGCTGCCTGAGTGTAGTTCCACATGCTTTTGCCACTGCATAATGGATCAATGAATGGGGAATCATTTTTTTGAACTGAAGAAAAACCTGTTAAGATAGTTGCATTTAAAAACTCATAAAAATATCTATATTTTTTACTCAGCAGAATATGTTTGCAGGAAAAGGTCTGTAGCTGTTGCTGCCAGATCACCTTTTCCAGGAACCAGAGAGTCAAGCAGTCTGTCCTAGAAAAATAAAACTAGCCTTGACTCAGTGAGTGGAGACACTCAGTATCTGTAGTTCACAGCACTCATTAAACACCCCAGTTTTTTGCCAAGTGCTGTTTGATTCACAAACTTTTTGCTCCAGCCACCTGTGGAGGAACAGCCTTGGGCTGTTATTACTGGGAAAAGAGGAAAGCCTTTGAATCTTGTAATGGTATGAATTCAGGCGGATGGTGCTAAGACACTTTCTTCCCAGAACCAATTTCAGTAATTTATAATCCTTGTGGATTATGCCAAACTTTTGCTTGGCATTTCACAAAGAGGCCAGGAACTGGAAACCATGCCACACAGGGTGCTTTTCCCTGGCTGTTGACCTGGTGGTGCAGCTAAACATTCATAAAGATCCAGTTAGTAGAGAGAAACCATGGACTTTGCCTGAGACTGTTCAGTCACATCTGTGACTGCTTTTAGTGGGAAAACCCTTTTGCCAAAAGACAAGCTTACTCAGCATGCTAAAGTAATTGTGTAACAGAAATGAACAAATGAAAAATCTACCAGACAAGTGGAAGAACACTCCTAACAAGGGACTGGTAGGATTAAAGAGTTTTGTAAAATGCTCTTCCAGAAGGAGTGATGTATGCCTTGTCACATGACATACTTAAAGCTGCAGATGAGCTCCACCTACTGAAGCGTAACTGAGTTTGGTAGCATGTGACCTATTTCTTTCTAGAGTTCATTGTGCACATTGAAGGGAAAAAAAAAAATCTTGTGTTAACAGTTACATTCCAAATGGTGTGTTTGACAGGTAGTATGGAAGAGCAGTGGTCTTTGGAGATTCAGGACAAAGGCCGAGTTACCTGTCCCACATGCCGGGCTGTGGTGAGAAAGACTGTAGAAGGACTGAAGAAACATATGGCAAACTGCAGGCAGGTAAGAACACGAGAGATGAGCAATCGTTTCTTTACTGCTCTTTAGCTTACCAATAGAAATGCCTGCACACTGTTTTGTGTTGAATTTAAAACCAGTTTCATCTCATCATCATGTCCCTAAGCAAGAGTCCTTTATATATCTGTAAGAGGCTGTGCTTGGTGCTTCTTGCCCAGCCTTTTGCTGGAGGTTTATGGTAGTGACCAAAGGTGTAACTATTTCATTGTTCCACTAAATTTTAGACTCTGTAAAATCTGTTCTTAGAGGGCAGTTACTAGGTCCAAATAAATGTTATGCTCTCCTTCTCCCTTTCCCCAAAGTTTCCCACTGCTTTGATTAATTTCCGCAGTGTCCTTTTTTATTTCTAGGAAATGTTCACGTGTCATCAATGCGGGAAGCAGCTGAAGTCTTCAGCAGGGATGAAATACCATGTCATGGCAGACCATAACAATCAGGTAACACAACTGCTGTGCATCTGAAACTCCTACAGGAAGAACAGGCTTTTGTTCCTTCCCTGGTGCACACACAGAAACAGAACATGAGGTGTTTTTTTTTTTCAAATGTTGTAGCTATTCAAATCATCTGCCTATTATTTTTCCTGTGAGACTTGATATCTGAAAAACAGTAAAGTAGGGATGCCATATCGTAAAAAGAGGGGATGAGTTTCTCTTGTGGCTGGTAATAAGTCACGCATAAAAGGCATTCTCACTCAGAAAGGAAAAGATTGCTCATTAGGCTGCAGTTTTCAGTCCTTTGCTAGAAAGCAGGAGGTGTTGTTTTTTTTTTTACATCCAGAGCAGAGCAGACTAGATTTGAGTTCTTTACAACTTCAAAGGTAGAAGAGAAGAACTAGAAATTAATTCTTGTCTCTCTTTACTGTAAAAATACTAATGCTACAAACTACTTTTCCTCTTTGCTATTACTTTAAAGAAGGCAGTGTCTCCTGTTGTAGTAGTGAAGAATTAGAACTTTTGAAACAGTCGTTTGAAAGTTTAGATAAGGTTCAGATAATTCACAACTGTAATTTTTTATACAGTTTGCAGTACTACAGTTTCTGAACCTACAGCTGTATTAGTAAATGGTACAGGCCAGGGATCATATTCTGCATCTGAGGATTAGGTCTGTTGCTCAGTTCTAACTTTCTATTCAGTCTAAGTGTAATACTGGGTAGTGTAAGAAATAATATACAATAACCATCAGAGGAGAGAATGAAGAGCTTGAGCTGTAGTTTAGCACAGATGAATAAGTGTTACAAGCAGGCTTTAGTCAGGCTAAGTGGAAATACTAGGGTGAGTAAATGTTAAAGATGCATGATTTTCAGTCAGTTTACTCCTTTTAAAGATAATTCAGGTTTGGTTTAATCCCAGCCAGCAGCAAAGCCCCATGCAGCCATGAGCTCACTCCTCCACCTGCAGGATGGGGAAGATAATTAAAGAGTAAAAGTGACAAAACTCACGGGCTGAGATAAAAACAGTTCAATTGGTAAAGCAAAAGCCATGTACACAAGCAACGCAAAACAGGGAATTCATTCACCACTAGCCACAGGCACACAGGTGTTCAGCCGCCTCCAGGACCACGGGACTCCATCCCACGTCATAATGGCTTGGGACAACCAATGACATCGCTTCAAACACTGCTCCCCTTCCTCCTTACCCCAGTTTTATGTGCTGGGCATCATACCATGTGGTCTGGAATATCGTTGTGGCCAGCTGGGGTCAGCTGTTCCAGCTGTGTCCCTTCCGCTGCTTATGCACCCCTAGGCCGCTCACTGTCAGGGAGGTATGAGAAGCAGAAAAGACCTTGATGCTGTGCAATTGCTGCTCGGCACTGACAAAACCATTTCTACACTATCAGCCCTATTCTCAGCACAGATTCGAAACAGCCCCATACCAGGTGCTGCAAAGAAAACTCCATCCCAGCTGAAACTAGAACAGATATGGAAAGTGATCATTATAATAAATGCACGTCCATAAAATCTTAAGTTGCAGAGATTTAATTATTTTAGAAGCTTTCCTTCAGTAGAGTGTTTAGTAGTGAATTCCCTGTGAGAAGAACTGTAAATGGTGAGTATCATGTGTTTTCCATTCATTTTTCTGCTGTGCTTTAGCCAGTTGTGAAGGAGGGAGAGGAAGTGGATGAGCAGCTTGAGCGAGATCGCCTTCGGAAGGTTTTGAAGTGTATGGGAAAACTGAAGTGTACAAGGGAGGTAAGCTGCATTGTGCAAAGTGTGAATTAAACAGCAGTGGAGGCATGAACATAGAACAGGAGAGTGCTGTTGGGTATGCTTTGGTGCTGGCCAAAGCAAGATTTGTTTCAAGATCACAGCGATGCTTTTAGGACAGAGTGGCATAGAATCATAGAATAATTTGGATTAAAAGAGACCTTTAATGGTCACTTCAATGCCAATTCTTTGTTGCAGATTTTTTCTGTCTGAATAGACTAACATTAAAGTTTTCTACCTGCTTGTCTCTGTTCTGTCAGGAAAAGTGGTAGTACTTTGGTCAGTAAACTGTGTATACACTGGCCTTGTGGTCACTTGGAGAACGATATTCTTCCATGTATCTTTCTTCTGTGTTGACAGGGCTGCACAGGCACCTTCACTAGCATAATGGGATACCTGTATCATGTTAAAAAATGTGGGAAGGCTGCTTCCGAGCTGGAAAAAATGGCTATGAAGTGCCATCACTGTGAAAAAGCATACAGATCAAAGGCAGGACTTGTCTACCACCTCCGCTCTAAGCATGGGCCGGTGAGTGCATCTGCCCTGGTTATCAGGGGGCTGTGGGAGGACCTCAGACTTGAGACACACGTAAGCTTTTTTTTGTTCTTCTACTACTTTGGTGGGTAATTAACAGATCAAAAACCTTTGCATTTTCCTGTCTCTCTGGAGTACTTTGTCCTTTATACTTTCCTTCTACCAGCAGCTGTTGCTTTTCTGTGACTAGGATGAAGCTTTTAATAGTAAATTGGTGTGGCAGCAGTAAACTTTCCCTGACCTGACTTTTGCTCCATGGAAGAGTGATGCTAACATAACTTGTGAGATGCTTTTCTTTTGCTCTTAAAAAACCCACCATTGGAGCAGAACAGGCAGTGCTGTGCTTGTTGTCTGTGAGGGTTTTACAGTGAATGATGGGATACCTTTAAGACCAGTGACTGCATGAAACTTTCTGCTTGAACCTCACCACTGTGACCCCACTGTGACCCCCCTGAGCACATCTGGGGCTCTGTCTCACTAGTGGGATGCACTTCTGTCCTACATCTGTGACAGTGAACCACAGTTGCTGCAGCATTTTTATGAGGAATTGTTCAGAATATTCCCAGTGTTTAGTGTAACTGAAATAGGAACTAGTGTAGGAGGCTCATCTTTTTTGGCCTTCATTGCAGGTCACTTTCCTCCATGAGGAGAGTAGAACAGGGAACCTGATAGAAACGAAACAGGAACAAAACAACACAGGCAGAGTTCAGAGGAGATCTGCAAAGGTGGCAATCTACTATCTCCATGAACTGGCTGGAGAAGAGCTGGCCAAAGAGTGGCCCAAAAGGAAAGTTCTGCAGGACTTGATTCCAGATGACCGGAAGGTACAAGGCCTTAAAAATGTTTTATAGATTTGAGTTTTTACCTTCATGTCAGATGAGTCTTGTACTGGCTCCTGTCCAGTGTTTAGTGGTCCATGGAAAGCAGTGTATGTTGTGGGAGGGATTTGGTTTTGCTCTCTCTCATCTTAGATTACAGTACTGGTGCAGCAGCAATTACTGTGGTGTGTTTTGTCCAGGCAGGCTGTAATGACTGTAAAATCCTATTGCTGGAATTTTCAGTGGACACAAGGAACATGGGCATGATGTTGCTCATAAGTCGTAGGCTGCAGATCACTCCGACTGTGCTGTGATATTTCTACTTCAGCATTTCAGACTTCAGAATTTCCAGGATCATCTTTTAGGCTGCAAAGGAAACCTGAGGGAAAATGATGCTTTATGATTTCAGTGGGATAAGTACATTTAGAGGAATTGTTGTAGTCAAGGCTATGGGAAGTTTCAGATTCTGGTATTGGGGGGGGGGGGTTCCAGTTTCAGTTATGTTTCTAGGCAACCAGTGAGACAGGAAAACATTGGTTATTGAGATTTTGACAACTAGAGTAGAAGAAATAGCACTTCTGTCTCACAGTCTGGGAGAGGAAGAGGCATACCTGGCACTCTGTGTAGCCAGCATTGCTTCCAGCTCTCGATTCTGTCTCTATCTCAGCTGAAATACACTCGTCCTGGACTGCCCACGTTTAGTCAAGATGTGCTGTGCAAATGGAAAGCAGAGATAAAAATGTACCGAAGAGTCCACTGCCCAAATCAGGTAACCCTTAAGTGTTTCTGAAGCCTCAAAGGGGACAGATTTCAGGTCTCTGAGCCAACAGGCTTTCCACAACCTCGAAACTGCAGTTTGTCTCTCTATGGGAGACAAATCCTGCTCCATCTCAATATGATTGTTTAGTATAAACGCGACACTTGGGGATGTCAGGGCATGCTCTTTTTGCCCTTTGTATCCAAATGCCCTGTGAATGATCTTTTGGGAGTGTGTGCATTCACTTCAGAGCCAGTAAGCCAGTGTCAAACTGGTACAGCTTTTGCATCCAGCTGGGAGCTGGTCCATATGGAGGTTTGAGCATTGGAAAAAATGACAGGCCCCTGCCTTTCTAGCTAAATCTAACTGTAGAAGGGAGGAGTAGAGGGACTTTGTCTGGCACAACACTTAAGCTTTCTTCATTCCATTAGACCAGCTCTAGGCCCCATCCAGCCTGGCCTTGGACACTTCCAGGAATGGGCCAATCACAGCTTCTCTGAGCAACCTGTGCCAGGGCCTCATCACCCTCACAGGGAAGAATTTCTTCCCCATATCCCATCTAACCCTGCCCTCTGGCAGTGGGGAAACCATCCCCCCTTCTCCTGGCACTCCAAGCCCTTGTCCAAAGTCCCTCTCCAGTTCTCTTGGAGCCCTCTAGGCACTGGAAGGCTTAGTTTTTTACAAAACCATGCAGTAATCACCAGTCAGATCCCATGAGAACAAATGGCCCAGCTGGTGGAGGTGATGGTGGATGTGACTCTGTGATGCATGCTGTCGGAGAGCCAAAGGTCAGTGACAACTGCCCTCTGGGTTTGGTGTAGGGATGATGCCTTCCCCTTGCCCTACCCCACCCCAGCACTCTCTTCCCAATTATTAGGCTTGCATCCTTTCCAAGTATCAGAATTGCAGCACTATGTTGTGTGTGGAGCTGTCTCCAGAGAGCTGCTGTCCTGTATCACCAACCAGTAACTCAGTAGCTTGTCTTGCTCGTGCCTCCTGTTCAAGGACCTGGGCTGAGGGCTGAGCACAGTCTGGTACCCTAAGACTGATGCCTGAAACTCCCCATGGGACAGGCCTGTAAAGCTGCCCTTGAACTGAGACTGGCGATGTTGAGTGCTGTGCCCCTACTCTGTGCCACTAGAGACATAAGCAGCATGGGAGAGAGTACCTGCTCCTGTCTTGCACCTACCCCTCTTCTTTGTTTGAAATTGATCTCTGTTGCACTTTAGGCAAAAAGCAAACTTTCATTTTAGTCAAGCCTTTGATAGAGAGTGAGTGTAACTGTCACAGGAGTCTCTTTATTACGTCCAAAGGTGCTCAGAAACTGGAAAAACAAATATTAAGTTTACTGAAAACTTAACTCTTTCAATGGCCTTTTTGCCAGAAGCTTTCTGGCTTTGTAGGACTCCCTATCTCCCTTCCTTTACCTCTCTTAGCCCTTTTGGAATTATCTTCCAAACAATAAGACCTTGTGTAGGAAGTAGTGATTTCTTACTAGAATGTTGCTGATATGCTTTTTTTTATTGTTTCAGGGTTGTGAATCTGTGTACGGCAGCGTCTCAGGACTCAAATCTCACCTCGGCACATGTACCTTGGTTGGTAGCCTTCCTGTAACAGCCCTACTGTCCCTGTCCTTCTGATATATTGTTCAAGCTGTTGTCCTGCCATCTGCTAATCTGAGATCCTCACAAGTTCATAAAATCACAGAATGGTTTGGGTTGGAAGGGACCTTAAAGATCACCTCATTCCAACCCCAATTTGAGTGCTCCCCTATGTGCTAAGGAGGCTGCCATGGCAAACACCGCTTGGAAGCACCTTAATGGCATCCCTTGCAATGAAACGGCTGTCCTACCTGTAGATGCACAGCTGCAAGAGCTGTTTATCCAGATGCAGTGCTGGAGACCTTATGACATGTGCTTTGTGGGCACAGCGGGTCAATCATGTCAGTGTTCCTGGAGCTAAAGCTTTGTCTGGTATGAATGAGAGTTTCTAGTTTTAATTGGGTTCTATCTGAGCAAGATTCAAATGCAATATAGAGTTGTATCAGCTTCCTGGTCAGCAATAGTTGATGGGTTTTTTTGTTTTGTTTTGATGCCAGGGAGACTTTGTGGCTGGTAAATACAAGTGTCTGCTGTGTGAGAAGGAGTTCATTTCAGAGAGTGGGGTCAAGTACCACATCAACTCTGTGCATGCTGAGGTAAGGCAGGTGGAGTGGAACTTCAGACCCCAGGCTGTTGCAGGTGGGGAGAGTGTCTTGGAAAGGAAAAGCTCGGGGAGTGCCCTGTTTTATTTCTTTCCTTATTTAGTGTTGGGAACAGGATCCTAGACTGGAGTGGCCTTTGCTTAAACACAGCTGGTCTTATGTTCTGGGGAGCAGCTCTTGTGTTATGTCACATGCCTTGTCCCAGGCTGCTGCTGCTCACTTCAGCTCCACAGCACTTTCCAAGCCTTTAACCAGGCAATTGCCAAATCAAATCTGCATCCTTGAGACAGAGTGACACTTGAGACACATCAAAGAACACAGTGTTGTTAGGCAGCTGCCTTTCCAGATCTCACACTTCAGGAAAACTTGTCCCACAAGACAACTTTATTATAAGCCCTGATAGGCTTTATTTGGTATTTCCACCACCATCAGTACCAACCTGTTGCCTTCTAAACCCTGCAGGACTGGTTTGATATGAACACAATGACCACCAAAAGCTTTGAGAAGCTAATGAAAATCCGCCAAAGGGAAGAGCAGAGGAAGCAACGGAAGAAACGTCCTTTGACCAGGGGCAAAAAGAAGAAAGCTGGGACCCTGGCTACCAAGATGCTCCCCACTGCTGGAGTTGAAAAAATGAGGAAAAATAAGAGAGGTCGTCCACGGCGGGTGGACAATGAGAGTGCGAGCAGTGAGGAAGGGGCACCCCAAGTTGCACAGAGAGCTGAATTTCCGAAAACCAGCCGCAAGCGAAGTCGAAGCAAATCCCTAGAAGATGAGAAGGTGTAATTCTAAAGCTTTTCAATTACAAGCCCCACTTCTGTCCAGCTCATAACTCACAGCACTAATATAAGCAACTGGATGTCTTTGGGACTTGTGACTCAATTCTACTCGGTGACTTTGATATTGAAACTTTTGCCTCTGCTCAGTTGAGGGATTCAAACCAAAGCTGTGGTGCAGGGGCTGCCTCTTCTGGTGTAGCTCCCTTGGACAGTGGCACTAGCAGTGTGCCCGGTGTGATTCCTGCTCTGGTTACATCCCAGTCTCGGATTGGTCACATTAGTTGCTTGTTTAGTGGTTTCCAGTACAGCAGATGTCTGTTTTGTCATTTTCCTCAGATGGGTGAGATCAGGGTTCTTTTTCAGCTGTTCTCTCCATAAGGGACTGACTAGCACAATGTTTAGGTCTCTTCAAGGGGGAAATCCTTTGTTGCACACAATGCACACAAACTAAGCAGTGCTGTACAGAATGCAAAGGCTTTGGCTTGCCCTATCACTGTCCTGTCGTCAGCAAGGCTGCCACAAAAGAGCAGAGACCTTCCCAGTGTCTGCTGTAGCCTGTTGCACAAGGCTGTAATTCATGCACTGGTGTTTAGGCTCAGCACCAAACAGCAGCAGATGAGCACAGGTCTGCTTGGAAGGGATGGAACATCATTATTACCCTTGTCAGGTGCCCACTGTTCCGCTGGCATCTGTCTGCTATAATGCTGGGCATTAAAGATACGTAGAGAGTCTTCTAGTGCAGTGAGGAATAATTGCTCTCCAGCCCTTTAGAGATTCACTGGCCTTTCAGAGTCCCCAGTAAGTAATATCTTGAGATGGCCTTTGTGTGCCCTCTGAAGCCAACTTGTTTCAGACTCACCTGAGAAATGTACTCTAAGTCAATGCATACCTGCATGAGCAGCCTGCTAATGCTGGAACCAGGTTCCATGGAGCTGCCTTGCCAACGTGTGGTTCTTTGTTGTGCCCGTGCTTCCACAGTGTCCTTTTTTGCTACACTGCATATGCCACCTCCATTGTCTTAGATCACCTGTTTCTTTTCAGTACCACTTCCTCTGTGCTAATGAGGTATATTAGCAGTGGCTTCCCTGTGTAGAAGAGGCTAATAGAAGAAGGATCATCATTTTAAGTCATGTGTTGGCATTAACTCTGTATCATAAGGAATAATATCTTCCTGTGCTCCATAAATCATAGAATCATAGAGTGTTAAGGGATTGGAATGGACCTTAAAAATCATTTTATCTCCACCCACCCCAGCATGGTCAGGGACACCTCCCACTAGACTAGGTTGCTCAAGGCCTTATCCAGCCTGGCTTTGAACACTTTCAGGGTTGGGGCATCCACAGCCTCCCTGGGCAACCTGTTCCACTGTCTAAATGCAGCAGATGTCATAGAAGCTACCAAGAAGCAGCAGCACAGGCAGTGCTATTCTTTTTCAAAGAATGGATTCTCTAGAATTTCTGTTATCCAAAGACCCACTGTACCAGGAAATTGCAAAATGTGCACTGTCTGACAAAGTTGCTGCTGCTGAAATTCACAGAGAAGCAGGAAGCAGGTTTGTACATGTGTATTATTACCAGCATGATCACAGTGGCCCTTACGGGGGGGAGTGCTGTATGGCCGGGGTGGTCTCTAGAACTGCCTTTGGAACCAGATGCCACTGTGTTCAAGTGCTGCCCTGAAAGCAGACATGGCTGGACTCCGCAGGATGTGTAAGGTCTGCAGTGAGATGGGCAAGATCAGACGACAACAAAATAAAATGTCACCAGAATGCGGTTTCTTGTCTCTTTGGTGTGCGGTGGTCTTGGAACCGAACCTCCCTGCACAACCCACCCCACCCTGCCCCCGGGTTGTCCTGCATGCTGTGGTGCTGTTTGATTGTCTGCAGTTTCTCCTCAGAACTCCACGCATCCGTACTTTGAGCAAACATTCACTACTTTCCCACCCAGTACAATAAAGCTAGGAATTAAAGTAGGTTTTTCTTAGTGAATTTCAGTCTAGACTCCTATTTCCTGTCATTTGTAAGTGACTGACAAGGCCTCTCTAGACATGGATAATTCATGACCACCGGGATTTTGTAGTTAATTCAGTCACATATTCTCCTGCGTAATGTGGCATTTGGAAGAAAATCATTCTCCGACAATCCATCCGAGTCCATCAGCATTCCAACAGATTGTTTGCCGGATTGGCTCAGGCTGGTGTGAGGGGATGACATTGCTGTGCAGGACAGCCCGCTGCTTGTGAGGAGTGAGATCTGTCCAGGAGCACCTGTGTCCTGCCAGAGGGAGGCTAAGGCAGAGACCCAGGGAGACTGTGGCTATGATCCACTGCTCTGAGGACAAGCGATAAGTTACCAGAATCCCCTCCCTCATCTGCTGCCCAAGCTGTGGGAGATGCAGCCCAGGACACAGGGGTTTCTGGGCTGCTAGGGCATGTGGCCAGGTGATGTCCAATTTCGTTATCCCTAGGTCCTTGTCCGTCAGGCTGCTCTCTATCCATGGATTCCCCAGGTTCCTCTGGGTGACATCCTTTCCCTCCAGCAAATCAACGCCCCACGCAGCTTGGATGAAGACATTACATAAAGTGGGTAACACAGACACTGGAGGAAGACTGTCCACTGACCCAGCAAACTGGGCCTTGCTCTTACCAAAGAGATCCAACTCTGAGGGAGTCAGAAGTGATAAAAGGGACCAGCTAGTCACTCAATACTTGTTGCAGTGATTAATTGCACTAGAAATGCTGTGTCTTCTCATTTGAACTTGTTTTAATTTCAGCCTCTGTATCTGCCTGTACCACTCAGTTCTGGTAACTGAAATAATTTTATGGTATCAGAAATTTCTTCTTGCATATTTGTAGTCATAATTAACTCCATACATAATTTGCTGTATGAGCTTGAGAGGCTTGCTAGTCTCAGTCAAAAGAGGTTTTTCTCTTTTTCAATTTTTTTTTAATTGTTTATTGTTCTTTGCTGGCATTTTATATATTGATTGGTGCATTTTTGGCTTTTTAAGTCCAGAGACAGGAACCAGTTGCAGTATTCCGTAGCAATCTGGTTTATGTAAAATACAATGATAACATTGCTCTGCTCTCAGCAACCTCTTTTTGTCCTCCGCTCTCTCACTACACCACTTATATTCAGTTTTACCCTCTTAAATGCATTCTTCAGTTGTTCTGAAAATGCCTCTGGAGACCCATTTCTGTTGTTCCTAGAAACTCAAGTTAACAGGGTTTAAGGACCGCCACGATGAACTCATTCTGAAACACTGTGATGTACTGGAAGTGCTGAGGCCTGGACAAGAGGCCCTGACCCAGAGTTGACCTATAAGTGAACCTTCCAATCTAATGTTATATTTGGCCATGTATCTGCTTATTAGCCAAAATTCTGTATAACCCTTAGTAAAATATATAAGACTACACCTGTGTAAACATCTGTGCTTGTTATTAAGATATATTGCTATTTGCTTATTAGTGAAGATTTGCATCTGTTAATGAGATGTGAAGGTATCTACCTGTATTTAGAGACTAGTCAAGGCCACGGAAGTAGATAACTGGCCTCGTTCGACAGTAGATGGTCCAAACTGACTCCCTTGATTTCCTTTGAGCCCTGGCCAGGCTTTAGGTGAAAACCAAGGAATGAAGAGAGCCAGATATTTTCCACACTGAATAGTGACATCAGCTTGGTTGTTTACCAGTAAAAAAGCTGGACCCTCTCACAGCACAGAGAGAGCCCTCACCTGCGAATGGACGCGGTGCACAGGATTTCCCAGTTCCTGGGAGGGGTTCCCCAGCCCTTTGCTGCGCTCGGGGCTCCCCAGCGGATGATGCCGATTGTGGTAATGTATTAAAGGGTAACTGGTGAGGTGTCTTTCTTAATCACTATAGACACTCTATAGTGATGATTAGGTGCATTGCTAAGCTTGTCTTTTTATAATTCTTTGCTTCTTTTGTAATTTTTTGCTGTGTTGCACTGTAGTAAATTTATACAGTTATTTTTAAAGTTGGTGTCTCTGTTTCTTGTACTGACCCTTGTCCCCTGGCAAAACAGTACTTCACAGAATTACTCTAGCAGATGCCTTAATAACTGTATGTTCTGTAGAGCAACTTTTCCAGAAAGCTTGGTTACATAATCAATCTTTTCATTCTTTAATTTATCATCAGCTTTAATCTGCAGATTTTCTTTGCAATTGTTATATAATTTCATTAACATTCTTGATAAAGATGCCAAATAGCTGCAGACTCTGGGATTCTCTAGGACAAATCCTTATTTACAGTTATTTAATAACAAGCATTTAATGTGTTCCAGTGATGTTTGTTAACACATGGGGCCAAGAACAGGCCTTACAGAAATTTATGATGTCAACAGCTACTCTTACTAACATGGACTTGTAATTAATTTTAAAATAATGTTTACAGAAAACTGTTCTCTATGAAACCACATTGGTCAGTTCTTACTTACGATGTCCTTTAATGTCAATGGTTGGTGTGTCTGGGAGATATCAAAGTGATAAGCTGTACTTACACATCACACAGCTTGTAATTTTTAAAATACGGGCACAGTAGTTTTGCTTTGGGGTGTTGGGTTTTTGGGGTTTGTGGGTTTGGTTTTGGTTTTTTGAAGAGGAGAGAGAATACATTGTGGTTTTGGAGTTGTTTGGTGGTTTTGTTTTTTCTTAATCCTCAAGGATTTCCCCATTTTTCCAAGAATTGTTAAAAGTCATTAATAATTCAATAATTTTCGGGAAAGTACTTGCCATCCTTCCCTGCAAATTATGCAGTGCTGTAGCTTTAGAGATGTTTAAGCTGTTTTAATAATGAATTAAGAAGAAGAAGAATGTCCAAGAAAACGGAGCTGTTCTGTCAAGAGGAAACTGTGAAATAGGGTGCACCTTATGCAGAAACATCCACTGCAGTTTGTCATTCCTGCCTGCATGGAAAAGGGTGATGCTGAGCATGGCACCTGAGAATGAAATCAATGTACACCATGCAGTCAGCTCTATCGCTGTGTCGGGGTGGGGTACATCCCATTTGGTTTGGCATTCTCCTTTGGTAAGGGCACCACATCTGTGCCAGGCAAGCTCTTTCACTGCTTTGCTTCCCTTGCAGTGACATTACACGTAAGTGGGGTGTTTCCCTGTGCAGCTGCAGCTGTTTGGGAGCCTGGGACCAGCTCCTGGAGCAGTCTGGTCCTCGGTGCTTGCTCAGTGACCTCCATGGCGAGTGGAGGGTTAATGTCACACTGGGATGTTGTGTGACTGTGATGCTGATAATGAAACCAGCACTAAGCATGATGCTATTTCTCGAAGTGTTGCTTGACTCTGAAGGCTCTCTGTCTTCAAAATTAAGTAGGTCAATCTCATAATTAAAATACAGCAGGATTGACAATGGCATTGGGGGTTGGTGGTTATATTGGGAAGCTCTGCTGAGACATTAATTAGTACAGTGTCCCTTTTTATGCATGTTGTATCAGGTCCAAAACCCCATCTGAATTGTGCTCAAAGGTCGTCTAAATCAGAGGCTTTTGATTTCAAGTTGCATTTCAGAAGGTAACAAAAGCCAGGTAGTTATTCTTCAAACATAGCCTGCATTGAGCCACAGAGCCACCATAATCAGGACACAGTTCCAGTGATTGCTTGGGGAGACAGAGCCAAATTAAAGGTTAGGAAAATCACAGCCAGTGCTGTCAGCTTTCCCTCCAGCTCTTCCGCAAGGCCAGGGAGGCTCTTGTTCCTCTGCATGCTGCAGCAGGGTCCAGTCCCTGGATGTGCTGGGGTGGACAGAAGGGCCTGTCCCTCACCTGCCCTGGGCTGGCCCTGCTCCCTCTGGGGCAGCTACGGCCCAGGGCACTGCCACAGCCAGTCAGTGTTCCCTGCTGGCCTGGGCAAGGACAGGTGGTGCCTGTGGTGCCATTTTTGTGGACAGCTGCTTCACCTCATGGAAAGCAGAGAGTAGTCCATGCAGCAATAAGGGTTATAGGAAAGAAAAGGACTAATGTGCAAAGGAAGGACGTGAAAGGGCGACAGTCTTCATCTGTTTTAAGTACTTGGTAAACAGGTAAACCTCAAAAGAAGACATTTCTACGCATAGAATCATAGAATGGTTTGGGTTGGAAGGGACCTTAAATGTCACCTAGTCCAAGCCCTCACCATGAGCAGAGTCATCTTCTACTAGATCACATTGCTAAGAGCCCCATCCAACCTGATCTTGAATGCTTCCACGGACAGGGCACTCGCCTCTTCTCTGGGTAGCCTGTGTCAGTGTCTGACCACTCTCATTACAAAACACTTCTTCTTTATATCTAATCTAAATCAGCTCTGCTTCAGTTTAAACCATCATCCCTCGTTCTGTTGCAACATACCCTACTAAAAAGTCCCTCCCCACCTTTCTTGTAAGCTTCCTTTAGGCACTGGAAGGGGCTCTAAGGTCTCCCCAGAGCCCTCTCTTCTCCAGGCTACATGACCCCAGCTCTTGCAGCCTGTGTCCAGGATAGAGGGGTTCCAGCCCTCGGAGCATCTCCCTGGCCTCCTCTGGACTCGCTCCAGCAGCTCCACATCCTCAGTATTTCTCTTCATGCTGAGAACCTCGGAGCTGAATATCTTCGACCATTTTTTGCCAGAGCTAGAATTTCTAAAAGATTTTGAGAAGGTCCCACACCTCTTTAAAAAGTGAGCCTGCCATGCATTAAACAGGATAGTTGTCATGTTGGCATTTAGATGAAGCATTTGGAGGAGATGTTTGGATTTTCAGGGGAGTGAGGCCACTGGGGGAATCCCACAGGGATCCACATTAACGGTGGACTCTTCAAAATGTTACCCCCCATGATATAGGAAGCAAATGGGCAGGGACCAAGGCCAGGTTTGAGGATTACACTGAGCAGTAAAAATTAAAAGGTAATCACAAAGAAATGCTGAAGCATCTTAAAATGTTAAGTGGTTGGGAGGTGGAACTGCAGATGAATTTCAGTAGTATAAAATGAAAGGGCCCTGATATCCTCTGTATATTGCCCTTGCAGCCTTTCAAAGACGGATTGAATTGGTGTTTGAAATGGCGATATCCTGAAAGCCTACAGGAATACTTCATAACTTCTTATGCTGAAGTGAAGTCTTTCCTCTTCAAAACACCTTGCTGTCCTGCATCAAACACCATCCTTCGGGATAGACTCCAACCACCCTGGCCCTGGCCCCTGCCTCGGGACTGCTTCTATGCAGAGCAGAGGCAAATCAGGGAGGACACTTCCAGCCTACCAGCACTGGCCTCAGGCACTGCATCAGAGCCCACTGCCTGCTGTAGGGACACATCACATCCCTGACACAAGTGGGTGGCTCAAAGATCCAAGGCCAACCCACAGAGCCTCGTAAATCCTGCTCTTTCCAGACAGGGTGACTGGGTCCCTGACACCCAGCAAGGGAGTCTGGTCCCTGATGTCCTTGGCCAGCTCTCATCACCAGCTACTTTCATGCAAGGGCTACTCTAAGGCAGTCCCTGAGCAGGAGATGGAGGTTCTGTGGCACCACACCACTGCCATGCCTGGCACTTGCAGGTAGCCTCTCCACCGCATGGGCTGCCCAGTCAGCGCCTTGTCTCACTGTCCAATGTCCCTGACAGCTCCCTGCCCTAAACCAGGGAGATCCAGGCTTCGCACAGGTTTCCCCTCCTTCCTCGCCACCCTGGCTCTGCACGTGTCCCTGTGGAGCACTGCACAGAGGTGCAGGCAGATTCAGCACTGCGCTGAGCAGAGCTGTGTGGCAGAGCCAGGATGGTTGGCAGCCATGTACTCTCTCCTTTCTCTGGGAACTTCACCTCTGCTCCCAGATTACGGAAACAGCTGCGCAATCAGTGCAAGCAAACACAGAGAGCAGATCCCAGCATCAGCGATGTGTATGGTAAATTATTTTGGCCCTGTCAGAAGCAATGCCAGGGAGGATGTGTCAGGGGAAAGGTACCAGGACAGCCCTCAAGGTGGAGGGAGGAGGCTGGAAACCAAATTAGCATCCCCCAGTCTTGCACTGAGAGGAGCAACCAGCGCTGTTGTCCACGTGGGCCAGGCCAACACAGGCTCAAGTCCTACCCCAGACACAGAACAGACCATTCTGGTCTCTGCAGCAGCCATGCTGCATGCTTGGCAGCTGCCAGGCATTTAAAAAGAAGCTGTCAGCAGATCCCCCTCAGTCTCATAGTTTCTAGGCTACACAACCCAGGCTAATTTAGGCTTTCACCATAAGCTGCTTTTCCCGAAACTCCCTCTTAAGGATTGTGTATTGGGTTTGTGTGGCAAGGTTTTAGTAGGGGGGGGGGGGGGGGTGTTGCAGGGATGGCTTCTGTGAGAAGCTTCTAGAAGCGTCCCCATGTCTGAGAGAGCCAATGCCGACCAACCCCAAGATGAACCCACCACTGCAGCAGCCAGAAAGAGGAGTAAGAGTATGTAAGAGCAACAGCCCTGTAGCCCCCCAGGTCAGTGCAGAAAGAGTGGGAGGAGATGCTCCAAATGCCAGAACTGGGATGCCCTTGCAGCCCCTGGGGCAGCACATGGTGAGGCAGATGTGCCCCTGCAGCCCATGAGGGTCCAGGGGTAGAAGAGACCCACCTACAGCCCCTGGGGGTCTATGTGGGAGCAGAGACCACCTTCAACCCATGGAGAAGGTTGTGCAAGAGCAGAGGACCCTCCCCCTCAGGAGGAAGGAGCAGCAGAGACAAGGTATGATGAATTGACCCCATTCACTGTCCCCTGCACCACTGAGGGGGAGGAGGGAGAGAATTCAGGAGTGAAGTTAAGCCTGGGAAGGAGGGAGGGGTGTTGGGAAGATTTTAAGATTTGGTTTTACTTCTCATTACCCTACTTGATTTGATTGGTAATAAATTAAACTAATTTACCCAAATTCAGTCTGTTTTGCCCATGACAATAATTGGTGAGTGAGCTCTCCCCGTCCTTACCGCAACCCATAAGCGTTTCATTACATCTTGCCTCCCCCACTCTGTTGAGGGGGGAGCGAAGGGGCGGCT